ATTTCAGATAAATTTGCCAAAACTCTTGAGCAACTCATAATTTATATTATCTTTCATATAAATGAAAAACCACACAAAGGTTTTTGGCAAAAATTGTCTGAAATATATAGGATAGGTACTCTGCATGTATATTTTTCCGGTCAAATCAAATTTTAAAATTGCCCTCAGCAAATAATTTAAAATTAATATTCCGAGTTCCCATGAATTCCATATTTATATTAAAAATATAAAGGATATTATAAAATAGAGATCTGCCCTAATATTTTTTAAGAAAATTCGGGCCGGGCCGGGTCGGGCCTTAAAATTATTTTTAAATATATCTAAATTTATAAATTTTATGTTGAATATTTTATGGAAAATAAAAATATGTGATTTTATTTATAGAAAGTAGACGTCATATAACATATATCATTTATTTTGAGTAATTATAAGAATTTCTATATTCAAATAAATTCGGGCCGGCAAAATTTTTAAAAATAAATTTCGGGTTCGGGTCGGGCCGGGCAAAACTTTATAAAAAATTTGGGCCGGGCTTGAAAAATTAGGCCCGATGCAGATCACTAATATAAAATACTTAAATATTAATTTAATATATGACTATTTTTAAATATATTTATATCTGATTTTTAAAATTATTTAATATGAGATATGACCTATAAGTGTAGCGAAAATAGGGACGTTTCTATCCTTGGAAATCTGCTTGTTCATCATACCTACAAAAATACGAATCGAATGATAAAATGATTATTCAATTCTATTCGAAAATTTTATTTAACCATAAATTAAAAAAGATAGAATATTAATTTATTTTGTAAAATTTAACTACGGATAGAAGACAAACAAATTTTATTGAAGATAAAATAAGCGTACATATATAGTGTTATTTATATATAATGTAGAAAAATCCATATAATATTCATATCATGTAGAAGACAAATCTGGCAACAAATCAATTTTTTAAACACAAAGTTTTTCGGATTTTATCCTCTTTTAACGACATTCTATATTTTATAACCCTATGCTATGGGCTCCAACAGAAGAGAGTCACTCACATGAGTTTGAAGATCCTTATTGAGATTGAATGGTGATCTTTAAATATAAACACTATTCATAATAATAAAATTTATAAATTATCCCAAAATTAATTATGTATTTTTTATCTATTTATTAAAAAGCATGTTTTTAATTTTAAAATATACATATACTATTTAATTATTAATGTTATTATCATAAACTAAAATAATATAGAATATAAGTCAAGGTAATAATCTTTTTAAATATTTATAAACTTTAAATAGTATAGTGTAGTATAGTTAACCGTAGTATGATTGGTAAATCAGATATTTCTCATTCATTTAATGATGGATAGATTAGAAATTTGATATGAGATGTGAACCAACTTTTTTTTATTTTGATGAGAGGTGGTTACAAAATTTCCATTATTTAAAAAAATGTTAATAGAGTATAAATACCTTGTATATGAACAAATAATTTTCTGGAAATAAATCGTCAAAAAGGTATGCAAAACTCACATCTACCAATATTTTCAAAAATTCAAATTTATGATTTCTCCATCATCAAACGAAAGAGAAATATCTGGTTAGCCCGTCATTCTTGACGGGATAGATACTTGTTTATTATAATTGTACATGTGTTACAAATTGCATATAAAACTAAATACTTTCTTCGTCCGTCATAAAACAATTTTCGGAAGTTAATTTTGTATTAGGATGTTATTCGAATAAAAACAGCCGTTAACAACAATTTTAGAAATATAACATGTTTCTTTATTATTCTATGAAATTTTATTAAATTGGAATAATTCATACTAATAATATGATTATTTTCAAATTTTATTAATACTATAAATTATTCTAGTCGAATAATATATTTTCATTATTCGAATAATTGTGTTATTCAAATTCGTAAAATACGAATAGAATAATATATAATTCGTTTTAGGTATAGTTTTCTTAAGTATCATTTTAAGGCTAATAAAAATCCCTACGAATAGAATAACAAATAATTCGTTTTAGGTATAGTTTTCTTAAGTGTTGTAATTATGAGTATATGATAGATATGATGATTGATGTTGGAGAGTGGAGTATTTTTTAAAATGAAAAATGTTCTTTTTTTGTTATTATGTTTGAAAGAAAAAAGAGATGATGATTTTAATGAAAAAGTTTTTGATGTTCTTTTATTTAATTTACAATTAAATCCAAAAAATATAATTCTTTTATTTAATTTACAATCAAAAATCAAAAACTTTTTCATTAAAATCATCTTTTCCTTTTTCCTTCAAACATAATAACAAAAAAAACATTATTCATTTTAAAAAATACACAACACTCTCCAACATCAATCACCTATCTCTATCATATACTCATAATTACAACATCTCCCCTCCTTTACATTCCTCTCTAGGCCTCAATTGATCTTGATGCCTACAATATACTATTCCATTGTCATCTTTAACTTTGTATTTGACAATACTCATTATTTCTCCCACCTTGCCCATCGTCCATCGGAATTTTCCTTTGAACATTAAAAACTTATTGTCCCAGGCAAAATTTACTAGATTTCACTACACCTCCAACCTTTTCATCTCCTCCTTCCTTTAACGAATCCAACATTAACAATGTCTTTCCTCGCAAAAATTTTTCTGCCGGAGACCCATCTTGATTCCTGCTATTATTGTAAAACAATTGCGACAACCATCCTTCACCATCACCATACCTCTCCTTTTTCAACCACGATTTCACCACTGCAACCATTCTCTCAGCCTGCCCATTGGAACTGGGATGATTTGGAGCCGTTATAACATGCTTTACACCGTTCCTCTCACAAAACGTCTTAAACGCTACACTTGTAAACGCCGTACCACCATCCGTTACTCTTTACCATTCCATATTTCCCAAAAAATTCCTTCAATCTTCGTATAACTATAACTGACGTTAGTCCCGACACCTTAGAGCAATCAATCCATTTGGGAAAAGGATCCACTATAAGGAAATAATACTTTTTCTCCCATTCAAAAAAATCTAAATGTATTCTTTCACATGCCTATGTAGTTTCCTTCCAGCTATCACCCTTCCTCCTTCTGGGTAGATTTGACCAAACATTACAAGTTAAGCATTCTCTGCAGACCTTTGAATATCCTTCTTCATTGACGGCCACCATACATATTCTCTAGCCCATTGTTTCATTCTACTTACCCCTTGATGTCCCGCATGCAACATTCTGACTACTTTATCTCTCAATCTTTGCGGTACTATAGTTCAATTACCTCTAACCAAACAGTCATCTATAATTGTTATTTCTTGTTCCACAAATCTGTATGGATTATCTTTCCTTTCCCAATTTTTTTCGCCTATTAAACATTGCTTAATTATTTTTTAACTCCTCATCCTTTATCGTACTTTGTTTTATTTCTTTCTAAGTCACTGGACCATTCCTGAAAGATACTTCCTAATCGCTCCATTATCATAATTATCCTCATCGTTCACTATTTCTTCCTCGATACATAATCTGGATAATACATCTGGCAAATGATTAATCCTTCCTGGTTTATAACGTACCTCGACATTAAAATTTCCAACTAACATTAAGTATCATTTTAAGCTAATAAAAATCCCCCTACCCCCTTAAAAATTTTTTAAAAGAAACGCAACCTAGTCAAATGCTTGCAATAAGAGGACCAAAGTATTCCATTAAAATCTATGATGATAATCCTGATCTAGCGGCCCCCTTCTCTTAGCAAAATCATTGATCAGATATTATATTTGGATATTATCATACCTTATTAGCAGTGGCATACCCAGGATTTATTCATGGGGGGGGGGGGGTCTAAAGATTATTTTTGTGAGCTTTGCCATCAAGCTTTTATTTTCCCTGCCTTTAGTTTCTTATGTAGTATGCTCACCGTCCCGCATGGACCAGGCCATTGTCGTCAAATAAGACTGGTCCAGATCATGATCCTAAATAAAAAGACCAGTCCATGATTGGACATTTTTTTGTTAATAAAATTTTTTTTAATTTAATTCTTGTTTTATCATTTATTAAATATAAAAGATGTTAGCAACATCAAATCAAATGTGAATAATATATTAAATAATACAAATATTTAATTTAAAAGTAAAATGCTTTTTTGGCAAACTTTTCCTTTTCATAGTGTGCAATATAAAAATGAACTAAAAAATAATCAATCATAAAACTAAAATAACGCCTCTTGAAAAGTAACATAAAATTATACACAAATATTTACAAATAAATTATATGAATTAATAGTAAGGCAAACTTAAATATTAAAAATAAGTCTGACCAAGAAATAATTAAGACCATTAGGCCCAGACCACTGACCTTCACTATTCCAAAGAAAAATTATTATTATTATTAATTATTTTTAAATTATCTTTAGAGATCTGCAAACGTTTTTTTTGGGCTGGGCTTGGCAAAAAAATTAATGGGTCAAGCAAATTTTTTTATTTATATTTGATGAATTCTAATATTTCAAATAAGTAATAATATTTAACCACTCCCTAATTTTATAAATAATTTTTATTTTGGTCAACAACATATATATCAATTTTGGCCTTGTATATAAATTTATATACTGGGCTGGGTCAGGCAAACTTAGTAAAAAATTGGAATTGGGTGAAGCAAAAACTAAATTCTCACTGGGCTAGGGCTGAGAATTTTGCCATTTGCAGACCTCTAAAATCTTTATATCATCTTCCCAAAAATCTCTTCCAATTTAAAAATAATTAACCTCCATATTCCCCATTAAATTTTACCCCCCATACCCCTATTACCAAATTAAATTAGAAAAAGAAGTAAATTTAAATATAAACTACCCCTGCCTCACTTTAATTTTATTCAAATGACCTGACCCCTACAGAGTATTAGCCTCTGTATACCAGTATTCCTTTTAGCAGAGTATAAGTTTATGTTTTTTTAGTATTTATCACACAATATTTTATTTTTATATATTTTATTTAAAGGGGAAATATTAGAACCAAAATTAACATCTCAAACATCAGCAAATGCTTCCGAAATTCACGAATACTTTTATAGTTTTGATTTATATTCAGAAGATATTCCACAAATTAAGCCATAAATGACTTTCAAATATTAACTTTTATTGTAATTTTATTAATAAAATTTGTAATAATTAATAACAAATTTTTTATATCTTTATATGAAAAAAAAGGTGCAATATTAAATATTATTTACTCACATATATTTTATATCATTGTCATTTTGGTAATGTATTATTCTATTTATTTTTTTTAAATAAACTCAAACTTTATTAATTATATAAGTAATAAGTAAAAGGTATAAATCACATTATGGCCATTAAGATTTCCAATATTTTTCATATAAACAATATAACTCTTTTGAAAACATTTGTAATGGAAATCCCATGACATTATAAAAATCTCCCTGAATTCCTTCAATCAATAAGCAGCCTAGACCTTGTATTCCATAAGCACCAGCTTTATCCCTAAACAAAATTATAGTTATAATTTAGTTAACTACATTGGTTCTCCAGATTTGACATATGCTCTTATTAGCTCCTGGTTCAAATTTGCCATTTTTACTTTGGTCATAGCTGAAAATGTTTTTGTATCATACATACCTAGAAGAATTAATTTACAATTAAATGTAACTTTACCATTTTGTAATTTATATATCATAGTTACCCCAGTATATACAGCATGCTCTTTATTATTCAGTCTAAAAAAAATTAATCTAATATGCTTTTAGGTAAACTTATTAAGGATGTTTATTGCATCTTGATTATTTTTAGGTTTACCAATTATTTCTTTTTCTAAACTGACCACTGTATCTGCCGAAATTAATAAATCAAAATATTTCTAATTAATATAATATAGCAAGGCCACAAATATTTTACATTAGGAATATTATTTTTAGCCGTTTCAGCCTTATTTAAAGACAATTGTTTAACATAATCGTCTGGGTCACATAATAACAAAAAAGATTCATCATATTGCACAGGATATATTTCAAAATTTAACTATAAAAAAATTTATTGAAATAACATATTACAAAATAACTATTTTTCCTAAAATTTCTTTTCTTCTTGGCGAATTACTAGCTAATATAATTTTCTTCCTTTTAATTTCGTTTAACACATGTATGAGCATTGAAGATAAATAGATTTATCAGAAAATAAATGATAGACCTTTGAGCCCGATGATAGCTAGTTATGAAGGAAATGGCTGAGGGTCTTGGATTTTAAGGGGGGTTGAGAATAATTGTACTATGACTTTATCTAAAATTTATATGATATATATAGTTGCAATTTTGTTCTTATGTTCCGTTTAAAAGAAAATCAAAATCGGTTAAATGCAATATTCCTGAATGCGAACTAAATACGCCACTTTCCTGAGGTCTCTAATCCATTATATGGCTAGTTTCTTTTGTCCGATCGCGCTGATACAGCATTCTGACAACGGTGAAAATTTGGTACATGTTGATATCCCTGGCTGAGGCTCGCAGTCTAAAATTTCACTATATCGTGACTATCGGATTTGGGCTTGGGTTTTATTGGAATGTTTTAGGTTTGGGCTGCTGGAATTTGGAATGTGTCAATATTGGGGTATTGGTGGGTTCTTGACTTTGATAAACTATGAATAGGTTTGGTATGGCGGGGGACGCCCCATGCTATCTGCCAAAATCAATGGGAGCTGGAAAGAGCTCCATCATAGCTTACGTAGGAGGGCCTCCTAGGAATTTTAATGTAAATGGTTGAAATCCTTTTTCTATTCAGCCTGGTCCCCAGATCTTGTTCCTTGTGTATCTGTTCGCCCTTTATGCAAAGTCTCGAATCATAGGGAGGGACCACTCCGTGGACATTTCTTGGGCCATGAGCTTAGATTACGGCAATTCATAAGCGTCAGACGGGAGTGAAGGAAATCTGAGATACCCCTCTACATACGTAATCCCCTTTAGGTAATGCTTGGTTACCATGATAAGCTTAGCTTTATTGGTTTCCGCTTTAATATTTAGCTTCTTCCTCCGATTGCCTGTCTTCTGCTGATAAGGCAGCGTCTACTTGGGATGGAGGCAAGTCCCCCTAAAAAATCTACCCTTACCCCTAAAAATTCGCTAAATAACGATGCTATAGTGACATTAATAAAAAGATTCTTAAAGCGCAATCATTTATAATCTCACAACAAAATTTTATTTACTTCCTTTCAGGTCTATTTAGACTAGAAAAACAGGTAGATCTTAAATTCTTGCTAATAATCAGCAATTGCAAAGCTATTTGGGTCATTCTATTGGGATTGATCATTGAATGAGAAGAAAATATAATCTATGAATCTTAAATAACTTTGGATGTTTGCTAATTATTAGATAAAGGATATAGTTAAAATTTGTTTACCTATCAAAATCATATTTTTAATTATAATATTTAAAGTATTTTGCTAAAATTTTAAATGATTTATTGTATTCTTATTGAAATTTATTATTAAAATTAATCATATACGTTAATCTTATAGTTTTAGAAAATTAACAAATAAGAATAATATTAATATATTACGTGTGAAATTGTAAAATATTATTGTAAAAAAATTAATAAAAGGGCTTAAAATTAAAAAAGAGAAAATTTTTTATTATTTTAATTGACATTTGTCAGAATAAAATCAACGATAAACAACATAATCGTATCAATTATTGAATTTAAAAAGAATACAATTCAAGTCAAAAACTACCCCCCCCCCTCAATATTAATGTCTACCTCCTCAAAAAAATATCTACCCCCAAAAATCTATATCTAACCCCAAAATGCCAATATTTTTAGAGGCATTAGTCTCTTACTCACCCCGGCCATGTAGGCACTGCCCTTACCTGTAGTACTCTTTAGAGGTCTGCATTGGGCGGGTTTTTGGATAATATGCCCGCCCACTCAATGTTTAAAAAATTTTTTAACCCGCCCGCCCAGCTGCCCATAGTTTTCAAAAAAAATATACCCGCCCACCCGCCCATTAATCTAAAAATTTTTACCCGCCCGCCCGCCCATTAGTCTAAAATTTCTTGCCCGCCCGCCCATTAGTCAGAAATTTTTTACCCGCCCGCCCATTATTTATAAAAAAATTTTTACCCAAGCCCGCTATTTTAAGCATTTAATGAAAATAGTTTCAACATTACATCTCTATAAGTTTTATAATTTAGGAAATTACTATATTAAGCTTAAAAAATATTCAATTTAAATTATGGATAATTTATTTTATCAAATAAAATATTTATAAAATATAAATATAAAATAAATATTATAAGTAATTATAATGCAAAAATAATAATGAATCCACATTTTTGGGATTCAAACACGTTCTTCTTTGTTCTAAAAACCTTCCGGCAATGCTAAATTTTCTTTCAGAAGTAGCGTTTGGATACGTTGCGGCTAACTGTTGTAGCACAAGGGATGATCTTATTAACATCCAATTTACCATATGTTGCCCCTAAGTCGGCAAATCTTTGTAAAATATTTATAAATCCAGGTCCTTGAACTGCTTAAAATGGCCTAAAAAAGATAAAAGAATAATTTATTAAATTAAAATACCTAATGTCTCTAGCGCACAAAATTCGCTATTAGACCAGATTTTATCGTTTTGTTTAATTGAGAATTGTCTTTTTCAAAATATCCAGTTATTTTTTTATTATCTATCAAATCTTCATAATTTGCAGATGAACATTGATGCCGAAGGAAGAAGGAGGTGCCACTTTTGCTATTATATTTAAAGATGGACTCGCAATCATTGCAGCGAATCCAATCTAGCTTTTTGTCATTTTCATCAAAAATAATTTTAAATTGTTTCCACATAGACGATTTAAGTTTATTATTATTATCTTCATTGTTTTTTATCTTATACAAATTATTTTTTATTTTCTTAGCAATCAATTCTTTATTCATATTTTAAAATTAAATTAAAAAATATTATTTTGTTAAAATTATGTTATAAAAAATAATATTTATATATTATATAAGAAAATAAAAATGAAAATAAAAAGGGCAATATAAAGATAAACAATCATTACTATAATAAAATAACACAATGGAGTAATTTCATTATTCCCAAAAAAGGAAATTTTAATTTTCAATATCTAAAAAATTATATATTTTAAGAAAAATGTTTTATTTCATTACCATAAAAGGAGATTTTAATTTGTTTATAGAAAAAAGTTTGTTTTTATTTGTAGAAAAAGTTTTTTTAATTGAAGAAAAAAGTTGATTTATTTTATAAAAAGTTATAAAGGCTTTTTATTTTTTAAGTTCGTAAGAACAATTTTTTATTAATTAAAATTTTTAATTTTTTTAACCCGCCCGCCCGCCCGCCCATTATAATTTCTAAATTTCTTAACCCGCCGTCCGCCCGCCTGCCTGTTTTTAAAAAAATTTTACCCGCCCGCCCGCCAACTTTTTAAATCTAATATTCAAATTAAATATGAAATACAGATAGCTATTCTGATTCTTCATTTTAATTGAATTTAATCTAAGTGTTTATTTTATATGCCAATTTTGGATTTAGAAAATCGGTGATTTTATAGGTTTATAACAAATAGATAGAGGAATGATTTATTATCTGCGTTTTATCATCACGTTAGATCCAGATCTATGTCGTCATGGAGGAGGGGGTGTGGGGTTTAAAAACTTTTACTAAAAAAATACATGAGGATTAAATAAAAACTTATAAAAAAAATTTTTGACTGATCATTATTACTATAAGTCTGTAGGGCAAGTCAAAGTGATATTAGGTAAAAATTTCTATACCTTAAACTTATTTTAAATGTTCAATAATTATTTCAAGATTTTAGGGTCTATAATAATTTAATGCCCTTATAAAAACTCTTAACAAATATGAAAATTTTATATATCTTTCATAACATCAGTTTTAATTATGAGAAATTATAGAGGAGCCAAAATTTATTTTTTATTTCAATAAATTTAATGGAATTTTTATTAGAGAATTTTGAAAAACTTACAATTATTGTAATTACTTAGAAAGAATTAAGAACACATCAGACAGTTAATGACTTTTATGAAAAAAACTTAAAAAGTCCACATGTTAAATTGTGAGTTAATTTTTATCGATTGTAGACAAAATTTGAGATAAGTATAAATATTAGTGTATATTAAATTCAATCTAAAATATAAAAAATTTATTTTATAAAAATGACATGTCTTTTTGACTTTATACTACCTCTACTAAATCATATAAGTATCAAAGCTACAGCCAGTGATGCCGAATCTCATATTATTTAAATATAATAAAAGTTGATTTTTTATAATGATTATAGTATTATATATATTTTTTATATTATAATAAGGGCTTTGGTACTTTTAGATTCTTCATTATATCTAGAAGGAGTAATTTTTGTATTTTATTTATACAGTTTACCAAACAGATTAAAGATTAAACTAAAATTTGTAACATTTAACCATTACATTTTAGCCTAAGCTTTAGAATTAGTTTCAAAATTGCCAATCTTCATGCTTAGGATTGCGTTTTAATATGAGTAATATCAAATTTTTGAAAATATAATTTTATTCAAAATAATTGAGATTTAAACTAATTTACATCTATATCTACTGAATTAGCCGAAAAGAACAAATAATACCTACAAGATTATGGAATCATAAGATTCAAAAATATTTTAAATCGGGGTTAGATTAATTGATGTTTAAATAATAATTTAGAATCCGATATTTGGGACTCAGCCTAAGGCGTCCGTTATTTTGCAGGATGCTTGTTAATGAAATAAAATAAAATTGAGATAAATTTAACTTTTACCATCGAAAGTATATTTGCGATAATCAATTAATTACTATAAATTGTATCCTTAAACTAAAATAACAAAATACAATTTATTTAAAGTTTATACATTACAATGCTAATCTTAGATTTTTTATCCAATAATGCCATTTTCTTTAAACTATCTACCAAATAGGTTAGATCACTAAAATATATTAAACCAACTAATTATTGCTATAAATTTTAAAGTGAATGCTTGAAGTTTGGCTAACTTCACGCTTAACGCCTTGATATCATAATTTTTATTTGGTTTGTTAATCTGTTAGTTTTTTAACATGGCTTCAAAATTAATAGAAGAATTAATCAGTAGAGCAATAAATATTAACGCAATCCAGATATTTAGAATTTCTATATTCTCATTTCTGGCTTGATGCTAAGTTTCTCCTTTCTGACATGATGCTAATTTTGATAAAACACTATTTCATATAGACATAAGTTTAAGAATTATTTCCTAGCTTGACTTACTTTCATGCTTAAAGCGAGACGTCATAATTTATTTTGCTTATAACTCGGTTTCTTTTTTGTTGTTCTTAAAAATGATTGAGGGATCAATATTTATAAAAGGATGGTTGTAGAAATAGATAGCCATAGAGGAAAGATATAAAAGCCATAATTGACATCTGGAAATAATTAAATATAGATAGTAAAAAATGTTATGGCCGTGGCGGACCTTTAGTAAAATTTTAACGAGCTGGGCTAGGTCTGATTTTTCGTAAGACCGAGCAATTTTTGAAAAAATTCTTCGGACCAGACCTTGCAGATCTCTAATCTGTATTGTGTACTTGTTATTGGTTTATATAATAAATAACTTGTTTAATTTCTTGTTAATTCACTATATTATTTATAGATTTAGTATTTTAATTAGACAGCTCTTAAAATACAAAGAAATAAACATATTGTATTTTATATTTTATTCGTAAATCAAAATTTTAGCTTGAAATTAAAAAAATATATCAATATTTTTTAATGCCCGGGCTGTATTAAAATTTTTAAACCAACCCGAAATTTTTTTGCATACGACTTACCAGTCCATATATTTTGCCCAACCTTTTTAATTTTTTAAAATTTTCCCCGCCTTGCCCATCGGGTTGGACTTTCAGGCGGCCCGGGCTTTACAGATCTTTAATAAGTACTAGTCAGGCACCGATTATCAGCCCAAACCAGAGAATAAGTTCTATATTTTACATACTAGCATGATGACAATTTAAAATTTTTACTTATTTTGCTAATTACTTTTTTTTATATACTGACAAACCAAACGAATTAAAGTAATATATAATTCCTAAACATGAAATTTTTAGAATAAATACATTCAGAATTATTTTGCTAATAATTTTTTTTATGCTGACTACTAAACTGGTTAACGCACTCACAAGCACTAATAAAGCCCAAAACATTGGTATCTATATTAGAATTAGAGCTTCCAATCGTTCAGCCAAATTATAGATAATGTAGATATATTATATATTTTAAAAAGTAAAATAAAAATAAATCCGGGAAAATCATTAATATATAATCATAATTTTTTATAGGAGGAATGCGACCCAAAGACCGGGCGGGATTTTGGGGAGCTAAAAGTTCACAAAATATTTTTTTAATACCCTTCCCATTTTTGGATAAATCCTAGCTATGCCACTAAATATATAATATTGTTTTCATTAAAAAAATTTTTTGCTGAAAAATTTAAATTATGGAAACTTAATTCTTGAATTATACTTTAGTTTATCATTTTCAAGAAGAAGGGAAAGCTGGGAAAAAGGCATATCCATTTTTGTTGCTTAAAATGATATTTATATGATGTCTGCACTCCTCCTCTCTCCCACTCTTCCCCCTTTGGTAACCCGATTGGTAAAAAAGGGAATTTCCTTCATAAATTATTATTACAGAAGAAAAATAATCAAAATTTTAAAAAATATTTTACCCTCCGGAGTTGATTTCATACCTCCCCTCCTCCCAATATTTTTCCTACTGATTTCACTCTCGCCGAGGATCTATTCTATCCTTCCATCACGACTCTTCTCCCGCTTACGATGGACTTCGTCCCATTTTCCTCCAGGATCTTATATCCCCCTCATAGTCAGCCAGGTCCCAATTTTACAAAACGATGCTAAACTAATCGCACTCGAAAAGCCCAATATGGATATCCGCTCAATAGCAATCGGGACCGTATTCCGCCGTCTTGTCGCTAAACTAATATCTTCCAAAATTAAGGACAACGCAGCCTTAATTTTAGTACCTCACCAACTTGGTATCGGCATCCAAGGTGGCTGCGAAATAGCCACACACGTTACTTGCATCCATCTCCAAACCAATCTAAGTAACGAAATCCTCGTTAAAATTGATTTCTCTAATGCCTTCAACTCCATTCGCCGCTCTCACTTTCTCCCACAAATGCACCACTCATTTCCCACCTTTTCTCAATTCTTCCATTTCAGCTATTCCATGCCATCTTATCTCCAATTCAACAACTATTTACTTTCATCATCAGAAGAGATCCAACAAAGCGATCCTCTGGGTTCGATACTTTTCAGCATTGGAATCAACGAACGAAATGGTCAAAAACATTTCCTCCAACTGCAATCTTCCACTGCACACTTGGTACATTAACGACGGAATACTCTGCGGTCCCCCTAACGAGGTTTATAAGGCACTCGCCATCATCAAAACACATTCCCATGCTATCGGACTCTCACTCAACGAACAAAAACTCGAGATGAGATCTGCCCATTACACTGCTCCATCCCATTCACCCACAACTTCCACACAACCGATCTCTAACACCTCAGTCATCTCGACTCTCCAGTCGGTGGTCTGGAATCCATCAATCACTTCTTCACTAACACATCATCCAGCTTACTTCATTTCAAAAACATCTCTAAGTTTCTCCCTCCTCATCAATTTTTTTTTCTCCTCAAAAACTTTTACATTCTTTATGCCCTTCGATCCACCTCAATTTTCAAATTCCCCGACTTATTAAAAACATTCGAAATCTCCATCAAATCTCTTGCTGAAGCGATCTTTAATCTCAGCTTTAACCATAATTCATGGTTACAAGCGTCACTTCCATGCAACGGGGGTATCGGCCTACGCTCACCTCTAACTCTTTCCATTAGTGGTTTCATCGCCTCTCGTCTTTCATCTAACTCACAAATTAGCCAGCTTTCTAACTTCCCTGACCCCTTATTAGCTGAAGCCCAGACCATTTTGGACAATTCCGTTGTCCCAAATACTCCACGACCCTCCTCAAGTTCACAGAGAGATGGGATATTCCACTCAACGAAGGCTCCATCGCTTGCCTAAAATCGAGCCTTCACGACGACGATCTTACAGTTTTTCACCAATTGAGCCAAGGATCTGGTTACGAGTTTCTGAAACCATACCCTCCAATAACCTTGATTTGTTGCTCTCCGTTGATGAGCTAAGATATGCTATTGGACTATTGCGAAATTGTTCTACCATACCAATGTAAACATTGCGAAACGAGTGTAGACAGCAATGGTAGATATTGTATCCATTGTCGCTTTTGTGGAGGCCGCTTTTCACGGCACACCAAATGCAACGACATCATACTACACGCCCTCAATTCAGGAGGCATTTCATCTAGACTTGAACCAACCGGAATTTTTAGAACCGATGGAAAACGTCCTGATGGAAAACGTCCTGATGGAATTCCCTTAATTCCTTGGTCAAGGGGTCAGCTCCTGGTTTGGAATTTCACCTGCATTGACCTAAATGCACCATCTAACTATAAATTCGATGCCCTCGCCCTCGCAGAATCTCGAAAAACCCTAAAGTACAGTTCCTTAGACCCTTCTTTCTTATTCATACCCATCGCCTGCTTCATTCTCACCACCTTCACTAGCAAAGCTCAACGCTTTTTCAAAGAATTAGGCAAACGGATATGCGAAATAACCGATCAACCTAAGGAATCCCTCTTCTTAAGCCAAAGACTTGCTACCGCCATTATTCGCTCTAACTATCTAAGTTTTATTTTTTGTCCCCTATCCTTTCCTGTAAATTCTATTTCTATATTTTTCACCATTATTTATTTCACCTTTTAAAAAAATAAATTATTTGCTACTACATTTTGACAACATATCATATCAGTAAATATTCAAATAAAGTAACTCATGACCGGGATAAAATAATTTAAAAAGATTTATTGTTAACGATTTTAAAACAATTCAAGCTTTTTTTAAGAATTTGTTATAATAGAATTTTTTTTAGAAGCGTCATTTTAATATTTTGGGATCGACTAAAATTTAAAGTGTTAATTTCTAAAATATAAAATTATTCAAACATTATTAAAATTTACCATTTGGACCTATATTAATTTAGAAATAAAGTAATGATCTAATGGACTTAACAATCTTGAATAAACGTAAACAAGTTTTATGTTTAGTTCAAATAGTGGTGTATAATTTAAGAGTGCATTGGCATTTTTTCTAAAGTCATCGCTCCATTTAATTTAAAAATATAATTTTTAAAGTTTAATAAATATTTTCTTTTTCCTTACAAAAGCTCTCATTTTCATTTTCATTCAAAATTTAGTTAATTAATATTTAAATTATACACTTTTTACAAATTTAAAAAAAAAATTTAAGTACGTGAACCCTAAAATTCGAGTACTTTGTTATATATATAAATATATTTTTTTGTGTGAAATATGACATCCTAATTCTACAAATCTTCCTAAAGGAAACAAATGTTATTAATATAATGCATATATGCAGTATCCTGTACAGATTAATCAAGTATGAACTATTAATGGCATTATGTATTAGGCATAGTTAAAGCCATAAATTTACCTAAAAAATTATATTTATGTAATGAGAAATGTTAGTATGATAGATTGCCGGGTAAAGTCAAATAAAATAATTTATGCTAACAAAACAAATTGATACTTTTACTTAAGAATGAGTGTAACAAAACAAATTGATACTTTTACTTAAGAATGAGTGTTTTAACGATAAATTTTTTATTTATGCCAAGATATATAAATTTTATTTTACTAAAATCAAATCTAATAGACTATTGATATTTTACGTATAATATATTATCCTTTATTCTTAATATATAATATATCTATAAAAAAATTAAAAATATCATCCTTAGTAGCTTCAGGGACTAACCTTGATAAATATCGGTTTAATTCATGTTTCGTTCACAAAAAATAAAAATTTCAGTTTGATTTGAATTTTTAAAAAACTGGTTAGAACCTTTCGCATAAATACTTATTAGAATTATGGAAAATAAGATTTATTTCCTAAAAAATAATATTGAACCGTATACAATTAAAATATTTCGAGATTCTTTTCTGGAATAAAATTCTTAAGGAGAAATAAATTATGTGGTATATAGTCAAATATCAATATAAAATAATGTTTAAAAATGTCAATCAAAATTGATTGCTAATAATCTTAAAACAGTTTTGGTATTGAAAGGTTCAAAACTGTTCACAGACCTTTAGAGATCCAACTGAGGTTCGTAAGACAAATATTTTGCCGGTTTAGGTTAGTTTAATTTGTTAATAATAACATTTAATAACTGTTTTAAGGAATTTAGTTACAGTTTAGATCACTATCCAAAGTTGAAGGATATAATCTGATATATTTTTTAAATTATCAGAACATAATTATTAATATCATTATATTGATTTTTAATCAACATTCAGAGTAAACTAATTATGATATTTTATCAGTAATTTTTTGTATAATTAATATTTGAGAAGAAAATCCTATTATAGTAAATTAATATCATAAGCATATACACCTTCGTGTTCAATAATTTGACCAAATGTTAGTTTAAAATAGCGTCTTGGAAACCCGGCAGGGCCAGTATCCGGCTGTGCAGTTATGTTCGGCATTTTTTTTAATATATAAATTTTTAAAACAAAAAATATTAAAGTTAATAGTCATTAATAGAATATCTATGATTAAAGCAATATCTGCATGAGTAAATAATAATATTAGTAAAAATGTCTGGCATGTAGATCATCCTTTATAAAAGACCCATCAGCTTTTCAAATCTAAAATGTTTTATTTACAATCTTCAATTTTATGATCTCCAAAAGTCCCAGTAGAAAAATATTTAAACTGCCCTATAGAATTGAAAGAGGCAAATTATATTAAAAGGAATCTGAATCTTAATGAATTTATGATAAATTCTGTTTTAAAATTTGAATTATAATATCAAATGAAAATATAATTTACATAATTTTTCGTAAAATTGTAAAACGTTTCCTTAATATAAATATAAATAATTCTTTGTAAATTTAATTCATGTTGCAAATTATTCTAATGGAATATTAGGTTCAATTTTTGATTAGATTTAAAGGTGCGGTGGGTGTGTATCAAAAAATAATTTAAATCAGCCTGCAGACCTAGCCTTAACCTCGGGTACACGGGCCGGACCATATTTTAATTTTTTTAAATATACCCGGGCTGGACCTGAAACTTTGTTTACGGGAAGGGCCTGAAAATTTATCTAAAATCGCCATTATTAACTATAAAAATCAAAAATAAATATAATATATTTTTAAAAAAGCCAGGCCGGGCCTGAAAATATAAAACCCGGGTCGGGCAGAAAAAATTTTTTGAAAAAAAATCCGGGCAGGGCCGTGCAAATGGTACCTCTGCAGATCTCTGATTAACTCAAACATTTTTCTTTTTAGTTTAAAAAATATATATCTGTATATATTTTTTCAATCTGTGAATAGTTTAGATGATTTTGAATTCTAATAATACCATTTGATAGAGACCAAATATATTAACTCATCGGTGTTCAGTTTTATAATTTTTTATTAATGTATATAATTGCTATTAAGTCAATTAATTTGGCGTACATATTGTAAGAAAAAAAACATTGCTACCTATGATATAAAATGATTAAGATAAAATCTCAGTCTAATTATTAAATCAAAAATAATTCTTTTCCGAATTATAATAGTAAAGCCTATACTAAATATATCTTGTTAATTTTTTTTTAATAAAAGAAAAATAAATAACACCCAAGAGCGATTGTTAAATCTAAGTATAAATATTATCTTTTTTTCAAAAAATTGTAATGAATATCGGGACTTTACCGTTTCAGATATACTGTAGATAAATATTTAAGTTTAGGGTTAATATACTTAAATAACAACAATATTTTTCCAAAAAATGTTTCAAAACATAATAAACAAAATAATGTCGACTCTTAATTTTAAATTTTGATCAAATTATGATTTTTACCTTATTTTAAATACCAAAGAAATAAATTGCATTCCACATAAAATTAGGATTCAAAATCTAAAATCATTTAAAAGAAATTAATAACTTTATATGTGAATCCTTATACATTTAGGAATAGTGATTCATATATTTTTTTAAATGTTTTAAATTAAACGTATAAAATATTTTCCTGTGCTAAATTTTAATAAAAATAAATGAATTTAGGTGAGCACAGCACATTTAAAAATCTCAACTACCATGTAAAACTTTAACTAACCATTTATAATTCTATCTAATATAATATATTGATGCCCAATCAATCTTATTTATTGTACTTATGTATTAATATTATTATTCGAATCCCTCAAAAAAATCCATAATATTTGACGATTTAATGAGATTGACCTTATATTAGAAGTTAAAAAACATATTTTTAAAAAGTTGATTACGAATTATATTTAAAAAAATATGTTCACAGATCAGATATAGTTCAAATAAACAATCTTTGATAATAAATTAAACCCTTCATTCTTTTTCAAAAATCTAAACTCTCTCATCTATATATTATTATGATAATGAAAATTTCAATAGTAAATTTTGATGATAAACATGGGTAATGATAAACATTGTTACTATGAACAGACCTAACAAGACTAATAGTATTAATCCTCTGTATATAATATATTTATTCGTTAAATAATTTTCTAACAACTAAATTCAAAAAATTAAATAGAGGATGGATTATGCAAATCTTAATGTCTTCGTGAAATTTTAATTAATTTAAAATGAGGTAAACGAATACATTATATATTTTATTATTAATATAAGTGGCATAAATGATATATGTATAAATTATTAAGCTTAATCATAGGTTAAAATAAGTAGTGTAAATAAAAGTATCAATCCATATAATACTATTTATATGACATTATTAAAATTTCTATTTAAAAAATATATAAATTAATTATAGATAATGCCAAATGAGGTGCAGGAAATTAAACCATATAAATGTGAATATTGTCATAAATCGTTTGCAAATTCTTCTTACCTCAATCAACATTCGAGAATTCATGCTGGTATCAAACCATATAATTGCGATTTATGTCAACGAAAATTCACACAACTTTCTCATTTACAACAACACGTGAGAACACATACCGGTGACAAACCTTATAAATGTAGTCAGGCGGGTTGTATAAAATCATTTACTCAGCTTTCAAGTTTACAATCACATTCTAGATGCCATAACATGAGTGCGTAATTATAATATTTAACCTATACAACTAAATTTATTGGAAATTAAATCATTTATATTCTCTATACAAATAATTCAAATGAAGATGAAGATGCATTAGTAATAAAATACTAAAAAAATAAATTTATAAAATTCGGATAGGATTATTTAATTGATTTTAAAAAATCGTAAATAAATACGGATTTTAATAAGTTTTTTATAAGATCAATAAATTTAGTTGATTTCCAAATGGTTAAAATCTATATATTTTGTAGAATGCTCAAATTTTACTAATTATGTAAACTAAGTAACATTTAATATTGATTGCCTTATAAATTTTAAAAACCTTATACATTTATGTTTATTTGCAAAATAACAATTAAAATGTTCAAAAATATTAATATCCAAGTTTTCTGATCCCTGAAATTAAACAAATGGAAGTGACCTGGAACCCAAGTTGTTTTATATTTATTGAATTGATATCTTAAAATTTTGATCAACAAAATGAATTGGAGTTAAAATTAAATTTTTATAAGAGACTTATTCTATTGCCTACTAGCAACTTATGATGTTTTAGTAATAATTTTAAATTAGTTGTTAACAATGGTATATTGCAATTAGGTCTTCGCCTAAATATACAAATTTTTTTTTTAAAGTTTCACCGTAAAATTCCACTGAGGGTGGCTGAAAAATATAATATGGTAAAATTTTGGGTTTCATATAACTTTATATAAATATCTAGAAGATGATTTCCTTTTATTTTTTCTAAATTGATAAACCTTCCTCCTATATTTATTTATAAAATCATCTCAGAAATTTATTCTTCTATTTAAAAAAGTGCGTGAAAAATTCCTAAAATTCTACGAATAAACAAAGTTATATGTTAGAATTGTTAAAAAGCCCAAATTGGGTCGATTTTTTAAAACGGTCCGATTAAGATTTTAGCCAAAATATTATTAAGCCTCGAGATTTGGCAAATAGAAATCAGCTTACATAATATTATTTTGGCTAAGATCTTAATCGTTTTTAAAAATTAACCCAAATAGGGTTTTTTAACAACAGTACATTTAATTTTATAATCTAATTTTTAACATTAAAAAAATTAAAATATTAAAAAACTGGACGCTTCCCAATAAATTATAATTAGTATGGGATCGACGTTTGACCTTTTTTATTCGGTGTAAAGTGCGCTTAGCATTCGTATTACTTTAATAAACAATCTCTTAACCTTAGTGCTTGAGGGTAAACATTTTCTTTTGTAATCGTTCAATTTTACCTAAACTAATCCATCTTATTTGACATCACATTTTCCAAAGATGCCACAACTCTATTTGACTACTTTTTTATGCTAACACTGCTAAATTGTAAAAGTATCAAATATAAAGCCATAGACATTGAGTCTCATATTTTATGAAAAAAAATAGATTATTTAAAATAATGATTATACAATTTCTTTATTAAATATGTATATGTAAATCAAGTATTCTATCACATGACAATTGGTATATATATATGTATGATTGATTTGTATATGACATTTATAACATTAATAATATATATAATATATCTCATTTATAACATATCCCCAGACATATGATCTTACAACTCCTCCATCAGCCAATTTTAGGTTTCCTAGCTCTTTGTGATTTCCGCGTTTCTAGTTTTCCGTTATCTTCCACATTTTCTAAAATCTCAACTATATCCGACTCTCTATTTTTTATATTTTCTTCCTCAATCCCTGACTCCATATTTTCTCCATTTTCTTCCTCGCTCTCTGACTCCATATTTTCTTCCACTGGCCCAGACTTCTCCATTTCTTTAGCTATCTCCCTTTTTCGAAGTTGATCCGCATGTTTTCGTACCATTCTATCCTTGCTTTCTACCAAATAAGAATATCTACCAGTTCTGGATTTTATAACTCCTTCTCTCCAACCTGAATTTATTTCATTATGCACCCCGGTTGTGCAATCTCAAATTCCCTCATTTGATTATGTTCATCATGCGCTGCTTTTTGTCGTATATTCGATCGTTCCATTTAATCCCTAACATTTGGATGTAACCAATTTAATCCCGTTTTTAAATTTCGCCCCAATAATAACTTTGCCGGTGAACGTCCAGTTGATTGATGTTCAACCATTCTATATGCTATCAAAACTTCTCCCATGGCTTCCTCAGGCTCCCTGATGTCTTTCCTAGTTGCTAAATGTCGACTCTTGAGGGTTCATATCGTTCTTTCCGCTAAACCGTTCGTTTTTGGATGGTACGGTGTTGTATGTATCAATTTAATATTTTTCTCGAAACAAAATTTTCGAAATTCTCCAGAAATAAATTGAGGTCCATTATCTGATACAATTTGTCTAGGTGTTGCAAACCGTGCGAACCATTTCCTTAAAGCCTTGATCATTGTCGTGGACGTGGTCTCTCTCATTAACTCAACCTCAACCCATTTAGTATGTGCATCAACTCCAACTAACCATTTTTACGAAAAAATAGGACCCGCGAAATCCAAATGAATTCGTTCCCATGGCATATTAGATATGTTCCACGAATATAAAGGAACCTCCATAATATTCGACCGGTTACTTTGACATGACATACATTGACGAACATATTGTTCAATGTCTTTATCGCAATTAGGCCACCAACAATACATTCTAAAAATTGATTTCATAGCATTTATTCCTGGATGCCCTCTGTGTATAATCGTAAATATTGATTTCCTCAAACGGTTGGAATTACCAACTTCCCATTTCATTCAATAACATCATGATCTACTGACAATTCCTCTCTACGATTATAAAAACAAACTAACTCTGTATCTTTTTTAGCATCAAACTCCACCCATCCACGCTCAATGTTTTTAACTACTTTTTTAAACAAGCTATCATTCCTCGTTTCCTTCTGGAGTTCAACTTGACTAATATTTATATCGTGCAAATTTAGAGCTCTGATTTTTAACGCATGTTTTTGATCGTTATTTGATTCTATGCCTTCTACTGGCAGTCTAGATAGTATCAGCTACTTTATTTTCTTTTCCTAATATATTCAATATCAAAATCATATGCGGACATTTTCCAAGCCCAGCGCGTTAATCGACTATTGGATATTTTTGGTAGTTCCCGTTTATCACCAAATAATTTTCCAAAGGTTTGTGATCTGTTCGCAATATAAATTTTCGACCAAAAATGAAAGTATGAAATTTTTCCATTTCAAACAAAAGTGCTCGTGCCTCTTTTTCTATTGGTGCATAATTTTTCTCTGACTCCAATAATGTTCGCGAGGCAAATGCGATAGGTCTGCTAATACCTTTTTTTTATTAAATGACACAACACAGCTCCAAAACCAGTGTTGAAGGCGTCACATTCCAATATAATTGGCAAGTTTGGCGAATATGGAATTAGCGTTTTATTTGTTGACAAAAGCTGTTTTATTTTATCAAATACCTCTTGTTCCCTGTCCGACCAACCCCAGCAACATTTAATGCTTGTTAATTTATGCAGTGGAGCGGCAATTCCATGCAGATGTGGCAAAAATCTCTCGTGATAATTCACAAGTCTTAAAAAAGATCGTAATTGGTGTATATTATTAGAAGTTGGTATCCTTCGAATAGCATCTATTTTTCCTTTCGCTGGGTGTATTCCATTTTTGTTTATTACAAAACCTAGAAAAGAAACTGATTCATTTAAATAGCGTATTTTGACCCATTTTGCCTTCATACCCACCTGTTATAATTTCATTAATACTTTTTTACGTTATTCAAATGTTCTACATCATTTTTCCCCGTTATGATAATATCGTCAAGATATACTCCGGTTATTTGGCAGTCTTGTAATAAATTATCCATATATCTTTGGAAAATGGTCGGCGCACTAGAAAGACCGAAAGGCATACATTGATATTGAAAATAACCAATATGGGTTGATATGGTTAAGTATTCTTTTGAACTCTCTTTTATTGGTAATTGTAAATATGTATCTTTCATATCTATTACCGTAAATTTCAACCCATCTTTTAATTTGGTTAAAAGATCATCCACCGTTGGTATAATATGATAATCGTATAAAATATATGGGTTTAATGTCACCTTAAAATCCGCACAACTCCTGATTTCTCCATTTGTTTTGCGTACGTTTACTGTTGGAGTAGCCCATGTCAAACGTTTTTTGTTGGGTCAATCTCCTTCAATATTCCCGATTTAACCAATCTATCGAGTTCCATTTCAATTGGTTTTCGTAATGGGAAAGGTACTCTACTAGCTGGCCATGATTTCGACCTTGCTGCCTCACTCAGATGTATGCCAACTTCCATATCATCACCCGTCTTGGCTTGTCATCAAAAACACTGAAAAATTCTGTCGTCATGCTAGCAATTTGTTTATCGGTTGTCATAACCTCTTTACTTGTGATACTACGTATAGTAACTTGTCGTGGGATAAACATATTGAATGCCAGTATCCATGGTAGTCCAAATAATGGTATGTCATTTAAACGGGTCACCACAATCGGTAGTGATCTGCTTATCTTTTCAATACGAACCCTTACCATAGTCTCACCAAGTACATCCAGCGGTTGGTTACCATATACTGACAAAGGTTTGGTTGGTCCAAGCTTGGGTCGGGCAATTTCATCCCAATATTGTTTCCCAATCACCGATACCTGTGCCCCCGTATCATAGTCAAATTCTATAGGTACTCCATTTATCCTAACAGATATCTTCGCACTATTTCTACCAATTTGTGAAATATATTAATTGAATCTGATGAGTCATTGTCATCTTGATGCATAGCATGTAACTTCCGTCCCTTACAATATTTAGCATAAAGCCCCACCTTTTGGCAATTATAACATTTCACCCTTGATGCAAAACATTGAAAAGGGGGATGAGTTTTTCCACATTTTGAGCATTCATTGTACTTACACATATCATTATTGTTAAATTTACTGTTATCTCTGAACTTAAAATTATTATTATTATTATTGTAATAACTAAAATTTCCTTTTTCTTTATATATATAATATATCTCATTTATAACAATGATACTAATTTTTTTTTATATATTTCCCTTATTTAATTTTTTTTTATAATTGCTATATAGTTGCTTCGATGTTTTTCTTCTTTCTTAAAACTTGATACCCATTTTGGATTTTTTTTTATTTTGCTAATAACTTTTTATTTATATTTTTTACTAAACGATTGAAGCATTAAACTAAATGCATACTAGTTGAGCATTAAATATTAATCTAAGCTTTAGAATTAATGCTTTCAAAAGTATAACAGATTTTGATTCATATCCAATTTTTTAAAATATACTCGATTCAAAATATGATAAGATTTTAACTATTTTAATTCTATATCAATTATATAAACCGAAAAAAAACAAATGGTAAAAAGGCAATAATTTTAATAATTTATCAGCTATATAATTAAAAATTTGGTTGCTACTATGAATTACGAAAATCAAACACAACTAGATAATGCTTTAGCACTATAAATTATTTTGTCAAATTGCCCATTTCAATTAATGGAAAATAAATATTTTATCATTTTTTGAAAATAATGCCCACAGCCTATAGATACACAATTAGCAAAACTTTATTCGATTTCATTTTCATATATAATAAATAACATGATGAATTAAAAGCAACAAATTAGATCCTCTAAAAGATTTCATTCTAGATAGAAATGACGGGTCAAATATTCGTGAAGATTTCATAATTAATTTCATAATTTTGACTCTAGAACTCTTTTCTTAAATCTCATTAACATAAAATCTATTGCTCACACTGGGGATTATATGACATATGAGCTATCAAGAGAATTGAAGTAATTGGTATTAAAAAAATTATCTCACTAGTAACTGATAATGCAAAAATATGAAAAAGATTTGGAGACTTTTTAAAGCAAAATATAAAGAGATAGTAATGACTTTTTTGGAATTTATTTAATACAAAATTATAATGATAGAGTCAAATACAGTGATATTATTAGACGAATTGAAATCATCAACATCTATTTTTAATGAAAAAATTTATTTGAAAAGTGTTCAGATGCTTACTAATAAATAAAAGATATTTTGTTGCCAAGAATTTCATTATGTGACAGACGTCTAGATCCTCGATATTGTTCGGAATTTTCAGACCGGGAATTATCGGTAGTTTTAAACTCAATAAATACTATTTCAGGTCAGTTTGTTTGTAATACTGGAAAAATTATGAATGATTTAGCAGAATATCTTTCAAAAAAAGGTTTCTACAAAGAAGCTGGCATGACCAAGTCTTTCTTATAGTGGGAAGGGTTGCATAAAAATTAACTCCTTTGTCAAGTTGCAGTAAGATACCTTTCGATAAAACCCTCAATTGCCTCACCAGAAAGAGTTTGGTCAGCAAATTGTCTCACCAGAGAGAGTTTGGTCAGCATTTGGGAAGGTTCTTTCTAAAACTAGAAATTGAATAAAGAATGAGATAAATCCAAAAATTAGGGTATTTGTTCATATAAGCAAAACCCGATTACAATTTATCAATATCAAGTAATAATGATGCTATTTCAATTGCATACCATAAATTTTAAATATGTATCTGTAATACATGCTTCTTGTTGTTAATTAATAAAGTTATTCAATAAAAAAATATAAGGATTACACACTATTTTTGTTTTTGATTTTTAATTTTTCTTATTTTCCCTTATTTACACAAATTTAATAAAGTTATTCAATAAAGAAATTGAAAGATTTAAGTCGTGTTTTGCGATTATTTTTTAATTTTCCCTAATTTCCCTTAATTTTTTATCCCAATTTTCCTGAAAAAAATTTCTCTGAACAAATTTCTGGAATTTATCTCTATATGTTTGCCTAAGGGGACGTTTGTTGCATTATTAAAAAATCAAGATGGAAGGATAAAGTAAACAGATTGCTGACCAGATGGTGATAGGTACAATTTTGGCAAGGTTCCAATAGAGTTTATTATGGTGTTGATAATTTATTTGCTGAAAATTAGATAAAAATTACGAAGGTCAAAAGAATTTATTAATTTATTCTTGCTATAAAATTTCATGTTGATCGAATTCTGAACGTTATTCAGCTAGGGAAAGCGTCGAGAAAGATGTTTTATGGAATCAATTATTATATTTAATATAATTTATTGAAAAAGGAATATATGGGGATTTAAATAATCACATTGGAAAAACTGTTAATGGATTTGAGAGACTTCATAGTAGTCATTATTAAAAATTATGATGTGGAAATCTTTAATTAGCAGATTTGCTTCAGAGGTATATTTTAGTATTTTTTTTAATGGTCCACTCACTCGTAAAGGTATATATTTACTCAGGCCCATCACACTCTAGTTAATCCGGCAATATTTTAAAATTTTATATTGACTTTACAAATTCATTGTGAGTTAGTCTATGGCATTATATAAAATTTGAGACTTTAAAATGAGAATTTTAATTTTTCTTTTGTTTATTAAAAGGTTCAAAGAATGGGACATTTTGGGGAAAATGTCCTCCATTTAATTTTAGATATCTATTATGGATATAATTGAGCTAGAAGCGTCATTTACATTTCTTTATATAGGCTAATAGTTGGTCTTTAAAGTTATATAATGTTAAATATTATTTAAAATAATTTAATACAAAAAATCGAAAATGATTATAAAATTAAATTGGCATTTTATTATTCTCTCAGATTATATATAGCTATATTCAAGATGGGTCGAGCTTATGTTTATGAGATATCCCATTTTAATCATTAGTTTATTATAATTTTTTAAAATAAATATTAAAAACTTTAAAATAAATATTAAACCTTTAAAATGTTTTATTATTAAAAATTTTTAAAAAAGTGGAGGGAGGGGGGGGGGGTATTGTTAATTAATATGATATTTACTTTGTTCCTAAAATTCACAATTTTTTTCTTTTTTTAAACAGTACTATCTATTCAATTTGGATAAACATCGTTAAGCCCTAAGAAATGTTCTACCTTTGATAATTAACCAGAATAACAATTAACAATAGAATTTGCAGTATCAGCCGTAAAAATTACATGCTTTAACCAGTATCATATTACATTCCCTTCAACATCCATATTTCACCAGGAATATATTATTGAAGTCCCTTAAACATTGTAATGATACCATTAATGAGAGAGAGAAATTAATTAAGAAGAAATGCTTAGGCGGAAAAAGATATCTATTTAAAAAAATTGAAAATCGGGAAAAAATTAAGAAAGATAGCTATATAAAAGAAATTTAAATAAAGTTTCTAGTTTAATTATATCCAAAGATATTTAAAATTAAAGGGAGTATACAACATGTCAAAACTTTATATATTATATGATATAATGATCGCGTTCTTCCTATTTATTATGATTGAATAGCCTTTATAGGGCACTAAATGAAGCATTTAAGTTTTAATTTATGGTGAATATAGCTTAAGATAAAATTATATTTATATAAACTATTATTAATATGATTGGGTAAATTCTAAGCCAAAAAAAATGTGAGACAATATTTTTTAAAACATTTTTTAAATTAGAAATTAAATAAATGAAAATAGATTACAAACAAGGTATATGAGAAATTTTTAGAGAAAAACAATTTAAATTAAGTTTTAATTGATTGAATTATGTTTGGATCCTATCATGACATCGATGTTTAGATTATTTGGTTAAAATTTATTCTAAATAAAAATATGGGGTTTTTTATCATTATTGATCTAGAATATGGTAATCTGAATCTGAACCTAGTTATAATCAATTTTATGCACACGTTCCTATTATTTTATTTTATTCCAAATGATAAAAAAAGCCTCAAACCATTTGTAATGCTGCATAGATTCCCCATAATATTAAATAAACATCTTGCATATAGTATATTTTATGATGCATGTGATACAATATAAAACTTAGGATTTTGAGAGCATCAAGATATCTCAACTGGCGAAAATAAAATTCGTTTGTAAATTAGTATATTTAAAAGTTTTATTATGTAGAAGTGGATGTTATTAATTTCATAAAATTCAAATTTTGGTAGAAAATTGCTGGAATATGTTCACTTGTCTTTTAATGAACCAATATTTTTCCAACCCATCATTAGTAATCTTCTTTTAAAATAAAATTTGTCTCTCTGTGTAGCATTCATTAAAGGTGCATATCGATTAAAAGTATCAACTACGGAAAGATTTGGTAATATAAACTTAATATTAGTAAATATTTTCTGAATTTGATTGATAAAAATATATAATGTTAAAAGAAATTGTAATTATAAGGCGCTCAAACTATAAAGATATTTTATATGAAATTTTCACCGAAGGGTAAGGGCACCAATTAGATTCATTGGCGGGGAAGGCTCTGAGTGTAGTGTTACATCTCCAAATAATATTAATATATATGCATAAATTATATATTAATAAATGCATTTTTATGTCGTCTGTCATTATCAGAGGTTGGAACCGATACCCTTGGAATAGAGACAAATTTAGAAGATAGGAAAAGAACCCGGAACTCCTCCTTTAAAATAACAATAAACGCATTTAAAAATGATTAAACTGGTTCTAACAAAAGTGCATCTTAAAAGTCTGAGTTGGGCTATAAATTATTTATTTTTTTACAAAACATAGCCAGGTCACTTAAAAATAAATATATTTAATCATAACTGTCAATCGAGGTTTAATAATAATTTTAGCTCATATTTACAATTTCTCTATGAAATCATTTGTAAAATATGGACAAATCTTTTTTTAAAATTCCAGACCGGGCCTCTAATGATAAAAATAAAATCTTACTGGGTATAAAATTTGACCTCTGTAGGCTTCTAATATATATTTTTATCGAAGTGTTGTGGTATCATCATATTAAAGTTATTTTATATTCACTGAATACCTTATCCAAACTGACTTAATAAAATTTAGGCTATAAATTTTTTAAATATTTCAATATAGCTATAAAATCTATTCATAAAATATAGATAAACCATACAAATGCAATAGTTGCTATAAATGCTTCGAGGATGAAAAAAGTCTAAGAGATCACATCCCTAAACATCGATTTTCTAAACATTCTAAGATTCATATATGTTTTTTTTGTGGTAAATCCTATACTCAAGAAATTTATTTAACTCGTCATATAGCAAAACATAAGCATAACTCAGATAAAATCAATATTATCGATCGAATGAATATGGATTCACACGTGATTAACCGAATTTTTCCTGAATCTAATGAATCAAAATTTATTTCAAATGATGATAAATTATTTACATCGAATACTGATAATAACAAAAAATTCAATGACCACTCATTTTATCAAATTTATAATGAAACGGTAATATATAAAAACAATAATTCTAGTGCAAATAACCCAGTCTCCATAAAAAATAATAGTCATAACAACCATATGAGATCTAATCCACAGAATAGAGAATTTATTAGAGCATTTTACCCTGGAGAACATTCAAGACAAATAAATTCAATATCCCATAGTTCTTTCCATTCCTTTATTCCCCTCTATAATCACTTAATGGAGAACAATAAAAAATATGAGCAGAATAAAGTAGAACCATCTTTTTTTCAATACACAAATGAATCAGGTACTCAAAATTTTTCTACATCAAAATCATACACTAGTCATGAGTGGGAACAACCTAATCTACTTTACAAACATTCAACTCTTACGGATTTTCTAAACGACAATGAAAATATAATTAAAACCATATAATAAATTATTAGATATTTTAAAAAATAATTCGACATTAGCTAATTGTTAAATATATTTTTCGTAAGCGTGTATTATATTATCAATAAAATATAATTTTGATTAGAATGTTATCTCTGATCAGGGTTATCAGGTCTATACCACATTGAATGGTAGTCATCATAAATTTTTTTAAGTTAAGCCTACCAAATTGATCAAACTCCCACAATTTTAAAATTTTCATAAACTACCAAAAACATTTCCCAAAATTTTAATATATATATATAAATACTTGTAAATTATCAGCAAAAATGTGTGTTGTATTGTTTACCTTTTCAGTTTATCTATAAATCTTAAAATTTAAACTTTTCCCCCTATTTTCATTGATTAAAATAGAAATAAGGAAATATAAAGGAGTTAGGTTTTACCTTTAGGAGTTTTCATTAATGTCTTCATCGTTAAATTCAATAAAGAACAATCAACTTTAACTCAATCTACGATTTATCGATTGAATTTAGCAGGTTTTTATAAAATATTTTCATTTTACCAATATATATTTTTTCAGATATTTCTTCTTCTTCTATCTTCAATAAACATAAAATATAGCTTATTCTAATAGTAATTCAAAATTATTCCAATTTTAACGAACAAACAAGAGTAAATTTATAAATAAAAAACAATATAGAAACCCCAAAGTGGTATGGGGGGGGGGGCATCCTCTAAAATAATATGATAAAATATTTTTCACGTATAACATAAATTTTTGCCTCTAATATTTATTTTACTAGTCAAAATTAAGATAAGGAATTTACATATATAAATCTAAACAGACGAGTCGTTATCTAGGTGCTCTATCATCCATTTTTATAAAGTTAGCACCAATTTAAGAAAATGGATTAGAACCTAATTTTCATAATTAGTATAATCGTTTTTAAAAATGAACACATGAGTTTTTAAACATTAGCATCTATTTGGAAAAATGTTAAATAAATATTTTAAAAATTGTCTTTAATTTTATTAATATATACTGTTAATTATCCAAGACTTTCCTTGTGTGTAACGCACAAATCATTCTAAAAATTATTTCTTTCGCCAGCATGGTAAAACATAATAAAAACAAAATGGCAGAAAAATTAAAAGATGATATCTTATTTTAAAAAGGTATAATTTATAATCTCAATAATTGAAATTACTATTCCTTTCTTTTCTTTTTATTGTGAATGTTCTTTGCTAAAAATCTAAAAAAAAATACATGCTAAATTTTTTACTTCAAGATTTGTATTTTATAAATTTTTTGAAGGGACTCTATATCGAACCACCAATATTCTTCCTAGTGACACCTAGACCATAACAAGAACATTTGCTCATTGATATTATTAATTAGTAAATTGAATTGTAAAGAAATTTATCACTCATTATAATTGTCTTTTATTATTATTAAAAAATTAAGCCAATTGTAATTTTCATTTAAGATATTTTATTAACTCATTAAATCATCATATTATATAAAAATTAATTACCCCCCCCCCCCCCGCTTCCCCGTAATGAATAAAAACTGACTATTTGCCTGTAATACAATTGGAATGAAAAAGAAGATAGAATAAAACAAATTACAAAGTAAAATAATTTTATTAAATGCAAGAATGAAGAGGAGACCGGGGTACGTTTAGCACAGGGGAACGTTAGGTCATTCCAATTATAATTTGAGCTATTATTTTATAAGACTGCAAATTTTAACCTAACATAGATAATTACGTCATACATGATTGGCTAAAAATAGTTTGAAAAATATTTAGTATTTTAATTTTTGCAAAAGAAAATGTGTTTTAGAATACCAAAAATAATAAAGAATAATTGCAGACTTTATCGCTAATATTTTTAAATAAAACTTTTAAAATCTTTATTTTAGAAAAGTTAAAACCTTATTTTTTAATCTGACAAATTTTCAGAATCAATAAATAGAAATTAATATGATTCTGAATATTTATAAAGTTAGCAGGTTCGGTTATGGTTGGTAATAGCAAAGTTGGGGCACGTCATTTTAGCTCAATTTACCATTTAATAGTTATGCGAAATTATAAATAGGATAGGAAAATCTTCAATACAAAAGATTATGGAAAAGTCTTAAATTTATATAAAAAACCCTCATTCATAAATTTATCATTACTTACAGGTAAAATTATTTACTTAATATATATATTTTACAATATAATCAATACAAACAAATGTACCATAGTCTCTAGTCTTACTTGTATACCGATTTTTAATTTATTTATTTATTTAAACCTCTATTTTATGAGTGGGCCAACTATCACATATGTGTGTCAAGGTACCCAGAGTATGTCATAGTTATATAAAAAGTTTTTTTCAAATTCAATTTTCTAAAGAAATATAGTTTTTATAAAATATATATTATTTGTTTCAAATAACCTATACTTTTAGGATACAGTACTTATTCAGATTAGTCTAATAATATTGAATCTATTGAGGTTAAAATGAGAAATACCATCCCCGCCCTTACTGTCAAAGATAGGCAAAAAATATCTATATTTTAATTTAGAATCTTGATTTTGGAAGATATGATAATTTGTTAAAAATAAAATTTAAAAAAAAGAATATTATTTTTTTACCTGCAATTGCATATATATATATATACATGATGCATTATAACGACGTACATTTTGATAATTTTCTCAAAATCTTATAAGATTAATTTACGAAGATTATTCTTGGTTCCCTACAATTAAAGTCTCTTGTGAATTTTCTTGAATTATCACCCAGACCTCTTTTTATCAAAACCAACAAAGAATTCCCCCATCTGAAAGAATCTTCCAAAATTTCGAGTTTTAAACGATAAAATCAGCTTTTCAGATCCACCTCACAACTCTCTTCATACCTATGCCCTATCAGGTTATTACGCGTTTCATATAAATCATTCAAATTAGACTCTAAAATCCATATAAGGCGAGTATTAAGAACTCTATGGAAGCAAACAAAAACGATGCAGCGAACTCGTTGATAACGATGGCACAATAATTAATGGAACTTATTGATGGATATGCTCAAGGGGCTTAACAATAGTAAAGAAATAATCTATCAAAGAGACCTCGCAATAACATCCAATCACATGCCCTACCTATTCACTCCCGCTTTCATAACTTTCAATTATTTGACTATCCTCAATGCAAATTGGGTCTACAGCAATCAATTCATATTCATCCACTCCCGCCGCGAAAGTAAGGACACAACACATATCCTTACCAGCAGAAAACAGGTAAACCTGTTGGAGGAAGAAGCTAAATATTATAGCGGAAACCTATAAAGCTAATCTTATCTTGGTAACTAAGCTTTACCTAAAGGGGATTACGTCGTAGATGCAAATTGGGTTTACAGCAATCGATTCATCTAATCCCGCCGCGAAAGTAAAGATACCACGCATATTCTTACCACAACGTCTACATGAGTAGTTGGGGTAGAAACAGTTTGTATCCAATTTATTTGAGGGAGGGTAAAGGGTAGGCATTTAAAGGGGGTAGACTAGGGGTAAGATAAATTTATTGGGGGGGGGGGTATCTATTAAATATTTAGATGAAATATACAAATGATATAGCTAAACATCGACCAAATATATATTGCACACAATTATAGACATTATTTTCAAAATAAAACAATTTCTGAATCACTTTCTGCTATCCATTATATTGTAAAAGGGTTAAAGATTCTATTATTAAAATAATATTCATGCTGAACAATATACTATAATAATGGATTCATTATAAATGTGGGGTTTTAATTGAATTCGTGTTCCAAAAAAAATTCTTTTATGCTGACAACATTTTGATGGTTGGTAGCAAAGCATTGATAATTTAAGTTATTCTTTTTAAAATTTATCATGGATGTATTATTATAAATATATTAAAAAGGTGATTCATAATTGTAAAATATCGCCGTCAAAGGAAACGAAATTTTTTGGGGTGATGTAGGCTTTTGAGAGGTTTGCATCCAGTGATCATGTCATGTAGACTCTGGTAAATAGCAAATTACATAACCTAGAATATAATTTATGTTTCTCAAATTGGTTTCCTTTCTAAAAAAACCCTAATCAAATCTAAACAATAGATTCACAACTTCCAGATATTTCACCCCAATGGTTATATCTACTAAAGAATCCTAAGTTACTCAAGTCCACCATTTATTAAATTTTAGGTTTACATTTTTAATTGATCCACTATATTAAAATTTTACAATCAGTGACAAATATCTGTGTTCCAAGGCCTATTTTTACATATTTTTTTTTAAAAAAATTATTTTTAGTAGAATTTAATTAAAATAATATTGTAAAATATATTATATTACAATTTCGTTTTTGGTATAACATGAATGAATATATTAAAGACTACATGCCGATGTTTTTAAAGCGGAAAATTAATATTAGTTATATAAATCGCAATAATTTTAAATCTGATGATTTTTAAACATCAATTTTCTTAGAAATATTGGCCTACTACCTTTTTGAAGCGAGTAATTAATATTTTTAACAGTCATATTAATCGCAGTCATTTATATTTTGATTGTTTTCAAACATCGATTTTCACAAAAAAATGGCCGTCAATGTAATTGAAGCCAGTATTTATATTATAGCAGTAAAATTATTCACAGTCATTTTAATTCCAAAACATATATTTTCATCAAAAAAAGGCCGCTAATGTTTTTGAAGTGAGAAATTAATATTATTATTAATAGTCATTTTAATCCGATAACTTCAAATTTCAAATTAAATGTATCCACTAGTGTTTATGAAGCGAGAACTAGTGCTAAAAACGTAGTTATATCCCATAGTACGGAGGAGAGCTTCAAAAAACCCGATTCTATTTTAATTAGAACACAGTTTGATGTTTAAAGTGATACCTCAATTAATGCCTATCGCAACTAAGCAACAGACTCTAGTTTTTTTGTATATTAGAATAAATTACGAGGTTATATAATATTATAATAAAAACACATTGAAAATTAATAATTTTCTCCTCTCTACATCATTACCCTATAAATGCTCTAAATTTAAAAAAGTTATATTGCTTTGAATTTGCTAGTCAATATTTTTTGAAATAAAACAATTAATTAGGCATGGAAATATTTTTATATTTTATTTTAAAAAATTTAAATATAGATATGTATATAAAATAATCAGGGTTGGCATGTCGGTCAATTGACCGGTCAAATTCGGTCAATTGACTGGTCAATTGACCGGAGGAGTATTTGACTGGTCAAATACGGTCAAATACTCTAAAATATTAATGGCGAATAAATATTTTGATATAATTAACTAGTATGCATTAAAAGCATGTTTATCAATCTTATTATTTTTTTATTAAAATATAAATATGTAATTTTTCTAAATATAGTAATATTTTTAGTTATTTTTTTGCCTAATCATTGCCGTTTCTCGCCTTCTTTATTTTTTTCAATTCATTTTTCTTAAAAAAAATAAAAATACCCGATTTATTATAATCATAATATAATTTTTTCATTCTTATTTTTTAATAAATTTGAATTTTATTTAATATTTAGCCGAGTATAAATTATATTAATTCTCATTTGTTTTACTTACACTTGCTATATTTGGTTTTTAAAATTAATTTTCATTTTAATTGTTCTGGTCAGATTTACGGAATATTATTCAATTCTGGTAAAAAGTTTATTATATTATATTTATAATATTAAGAAATTATTGGAATAATTGGTCAATAATTATAAAATAGTTAAGATTGATTAACTTTACAATAATCAAAATCATTTTTTGTTAAATTTTAATATATTAGGGATTATGGTCAAACCAAAGCATCACGTTTGGAAACATTTTCAAGAAGTACGCGATGGTAAATCAGTTAAAGCGGTGTGCAAGTTTTGCAAGATGTCCTATATCACCCACGTTGATAGAATGGTCAAACATTTATTAAGCAGCTGTACTATGTGCCCTGTTATAATTAAGGAAAAATTTTATTCAAATTCCAAAATATCAACCTCTACAAAAAATATCACAAATGTAATTTGTAATACTTCTAAGTCTATCTCTAATGAAGAATTGGGTGAAATTAGTGAGAATGATTATCAAATGAACAATATTTTGTCTTGTGACTCAGGAGAATTTGATTCCCTTATTTCTAATCAATCTACAAGCAAGGCGATTAAATATAAATCTCAATCTTGTATAACCGGTTTCATAGATAGAATTAATCCCAAAGAAAAAAATGAGCTGGATCAATTGTTTGCAAAGGCTGTATATGCGAGCAATTTACTTTTCCACATCACTGAAAATCCCTACATCCAAGAATTTTTTAAAAAAATACGTCCTATTTACACATTACCCAGGAGAAGGCAGCTGGCTGGATATCTTCTAGACAAAGCGTCAGGTGATATGGAGGTGAGAGTTGCAGATATAATAGATAAAGCTCCTTACTTATCAATTGTATCAGATGGCTGGAGCAACATTAGAAACGAGAGTATTATTAATTTTATGGTGATGACGCCTGTTCCAGTGTTCTACAAATTTCTAAATACTGAGGAAAATCGCCATACGGCAGATTATATTGCCCAGGAATTTCAAAATGTAATTCATGAATTGAATCCGGTAAAAGTATATTCTTTAGTTACTGATAATGCCGCTAACATGAAAGCAGCCTGGAGAATTCTAAAATCTGAATCTATTTATAATCATATACAATGTTATGGTTGTGCAGCGCATACATTGCAGTTATTCTTTCACGATTTTAAACGATTGGACGTCTTCAGTGACCATATTTCAATAATTAAAAAAATTGTTAAATTTTTCAAGAATAAACACATACCAGCTGCAGTATTTTCCCGTAATAAGAATCTTCATGGCATACCATCTACATTAAGTACAAAGCCAAACAAGATGGGCATCGTCAATAAAATGTATGGAGCAAATTCAAATATGCAAGAAAGCTCTAAAAGCATCAGTTGTTGAAGAAGCTGTTTGTGATAATTGTCCCATAGAAATTACCAATAATATATTAAACGAAGAATTTTGGACGAAAAATTTAAAATTTTTAGCTATACTCCAACCTTTAGCTACCTCATTGTTGAAAGTGCAAGGGGATAAATGTACTTTGACCCAAGTAAAAAACGAGATGCTTAATTTGGAAAAACACATAATACAATCATGCCATGATTCTATATTTTCTCCATCTCAAGAAAAAAAAATTAAGGTTATGTTTGAAAAGAGAAAAACTGATATAAATACATGTGCTCACAATGCTGCTTATTTATTGGACCCCCGATATCAAGGGGAGCATCTTACTAATACTGAATTTGATGAAGCATGTAATATAATACAAGAATTGGGTATTTTACAAGGTGGTGATAATCAAAATATTTTGACTAATATAGTAAATTTCAGAAGATAGCCATAATATGTGGAAAGTTGTAACTTCCATAAGAAACAATCAAATTTCGGCCTCAAGTTGGTGGAATGCATTTTGCCCACCTTGCCCATTAAGAGAAGTCGCTAATATTTTACTAACATTTCCTAGTTCGACTTCTTCTTCTGAAAGAAATTGGTCGGTTTGGGGCAATATTCACACGAAAAACAGAAATAGATTAAAGGCTTCTACAGCAGGAAAATTAGTAATAGTGTATTATAATTTAAGATTGATTAAAAATATTAAAGAAAATAATGATATTGAATATGAATCGGAACAAGACTCTGCCACGGAGGGTGAAACATTGACTATAGAATGAATTAAAAAATATTATGATATTTATTATTATACATAGATTTATTATAATATTATATAAATGCAAAATAAAGTTAATATTGGTGTAAAAAACATTTATTTGAATTTGACCATATTTGACCGTATTTGACCATATTTGACCGGTCAAATATCGGTCAATTGACCGAATTGTATTTGACCGGTCAAATGCACAACCCTGAAAATAATACTGTAATATTAATATACAAAATATTACTATAATAAAATAGGACAATTTTTGTTTTTAAGTTTTAAGATAAATAAATTAAAAGCTAAATTCTGTGTTATTTTATTTTTATAAGCTAAAGCCATTAATACCAAAAAGAATTTACGTCGATCTTTCATCGATTATATAGTTCTCGATAAAACCTCTTTTTGTGTAGAAAATTATAATATGGTCGTGATTGGGAATGAAGTATTTTTGTTTTGAAGGGATTTGTTCAATGCAGAGTTGTACATTTGCTCAAAATAAAAAGATCTTTAGATCTTTGAAGATCGTAAAATTTGAAGATCTTTTATTTATAAAAAAATTTGAGCAAAAAATTTGAAGATCTTTTATTTTTTAAAAATTTTGTGTAACGATCTTCAAAGATCTTCATGATATTTATTTTTTTCACCCCTTTATTAAAAGCCCAGATGTTTTTCAATTTTATTAATATAATATTTCTTTATACCTCTCCTCCTGCCTTGTTGAAAGAAAAAAATATTATTTATTTTTTAAGCATGTTAAATTAAAATATAAATTCAATAAAGATGCACCGACAATTTTCATAATCGTATTTTATAAAAAAAGTTTTACCACAGAAGGGTAAAAATTTAATTTATATTATTAATAAAATGTTACTAATCATTATTTTTACATAAATGGGTAAAAATTAATATTGAAAAAAAATTTAAGTTAAAATTTCAATGAAGATGTATTGTAATTTGTAACACAAAAAATTGACAATTGTCATAATCGTTTTACTTAACTTTTTTGATTTTTTTTTACGCAAACAGGTTAAAATTTTTAATATTAAGATGTATAGTTTAAATTTAAATAAAGATGTACCATAGAAAAGTGACAATTGTCATAATCGTTATTATATTACTTAACTTTTTTGATTTTTTTTTAAGCATACAGGTTAAAATATTTTATTATTAAGATATAAAATATAAATTTAAATAAAGATGTACCATAGAAAAGTGACAATTGTCATAATAGTTTTACTTAACTTTTTTGATTTTTTTTTACGCAAACAGGTTAAAATTTTTATTATTAAGATGTAAAATTTAAATTTAAATAATGATGTACCATAGAAAAGTGACAACTGTCATAATCGTTTTACTTAACTTTTTTGATTTTTTTTTACGCAAACAGGTTAGAATTTTTATTATTAAGATGTAAAATTTAAAATTAAATAAAGATGTACCATAGAAAAGTGACAATTGTCATAATCGTTATTACTTAACTTTTTTGATTTTTTTTTAAGCATACAGTTTAAAATTTTTATTATTAAGATGTAAAATTTAAATTTAAATAGAGATGTACCATAGAAAAGTGACAATTGTCATAATCGTTATTATATTACTTAACTTTTTTGATTTTTTTTAAAGCATACAGATTAAAATTTTTATTATTAAGATGTAAAATTTAAATTTAAATAAAGATGTACCATAGAAAAATGACAATTATCATAATCGTTATAATTTAACTTTTTTGATTTTATTTTGGCGATAATAGGTTAAAATTTATATTAAGAAGATGCAAAATAGAATTCCAATAAAGATGTAGGGGAGACCGGTGATAGTGTGTTCCCGGGGTAGGTATTTCCTTCTCAAATAATTTAAAAATGAATAAACTTGGGGATTTGAAATTTAAACCAAATTTGTATTTTAATAAGGTGCTTAAGTAGGTCTAAAAATGTTTCGGACAAAATTGCTCATGAAAAATTTTAAATGCAAATTTAAATTTTAACACACCCAAAGTAACTTTTTAAAATTTTACATTTTCACTAATAACTATTTTTTACATCTTTATTTTAATTTTACATCTTAATAATAAAAATTTTAACCTGTTTGCGTAAAAAAAAATCAAAAAAGTTAAGTAAAACGATTATGACAATTGTCACTTTTCTATGGTACATCTTTATTTAAATTTAAATTTTACATCTTAATAATAAAATATTTTAACCTGTATGCTTTAAAAAAAATCAAAAAAGTTAAGTAATATAATAACGATTATGACAATTGTCACTTTTCTATGGTACATCTTTATTTAAATTTAAACTATACATCTTAATATTAAAAATTTTAACCTGTTTGCGTAAAAAAAAATCAAAAAAGTTAAGTAGTCAATTTTTTATGTTACAAATTACAATACATCTTGAAATTTTAAGTTAAATTTTTTTTACAATATTAATTTTTACCAATTTATGTAAAAATAACGATTAGAAAAATTATCGCTCTTCTGAATTTAACATTTTATTAATAATATAATAAATTAAATTTTTACCCTTCTGTGGTAAAACTTTTTTTATAAAATACGATTATGAAAATTGTCGGTGCATCTTTATTGAATTTATATTTTAATTTAACATGCTTAAAAAATAAATAATATTTTTTTCTTTCATCAAGGCAGGAGGAGAGGTATAAAACATAAAAGAAATAATATATTAATAAAATTGAAAAACATCTGGGCTTTTAATAAAGGGGTAAAAAAATAAATATTATGAAGATCGTTGCTCAGATTTTTTTATAAATAAAAGATCTTCAAATTTTACGATCTTCAAAGATCTTGCTCAAATTTTTGAGCTAGATCTCGCTCAAAAATTTTCAAAGAAGATTTTTTTTACAACTCTGGTTCAATGATATAGTTATATATATCATTGTATTTGTAGCACGATAAAATTCTTGATGAAGCTTTATGTTAATACCATGAAATGAAAACTACTAAGACACACATAAGTTTATTGGTAAAACAAAATTAGCAAATACATAAATGATCAAAAAAAATTATCGAAAAAAATGATAAAAAAAAAGATAAATTAATACAAAAAAAAATAGCATATATACAAAACAAAAACAATAATTAGAATAAAATATTTAATCTAAAATGTACCGAAGATAAAATAAAAAACTTCTATTTAAACATGCGAATGAAATTAAAACATAAAAACTTGTACAATTGTTATTTGAATATTATTAACCATTAAAACTAATAGTTTTTAAAAAAATAAAAAGGAAAAAACAATTTAACTTATTGACAAAAATTAAAATATCTTGGGTAATTCAATATTTAATTCTATCATTATTACTGACCTTTAAATTAATTGAATATCTTTCTTCTGCTTTTCATATTTTATATTTTATATTTGATTCTTTTATTCTAATAATTGACAGCTTATCTGTCTCTATTTGATATATTATAGATCTCTTTGATTTACCTCTGACACAGTGTTAATCATTTTATTTTAGAGAAACGTAATATTCCTCAGATGTCCATGCAGAATATTAGTGAAAAAAAAGATGATTATTTCGACAATATCGATTCCTCTGACGAAGAGGTTTATATAATTTGATTTAATATATTATAGCTAGTTATAGGAAATTAGAAATAGTATTGGTAATATACCATTAAGTTGGTACGAAGATTATCCTCATATTGGATATACACAAGATGGGCAAAAAATTTATAGACCTGCAATTGGCAATGAATTAGATAAGTTTTTAGATAAAATGGAAAATCCTGATTATTGGTTTGCGTTTTTATTTATAGAATTTTAATAATATTTTTAAAAAATAGGAAGACAGTAACAAACCTTTCTACTGGTCAGGATACAATTTTAAATAAAATGGAAATTTCTTCAATCAAAAAAATTATTTTCCATAATTTCTCATTAAACAACCATACCCCTTGGCTAGATATATTTTCAAATGAAGTTATGATACATCCATTAATTAATACTCCCCCTAGTAAAAAAAGCTTTATACCATCTTTAGTTGAAAAAGAAAAGGTAGTATAACCTATTTGATAAATAATAATAAAATTCAGGTGAATAAATTGGTATATGCCATGAAAATGGGATGGATAAAACATACTAAACCAAATGTTGATAAAAGTTTGGATGAACCTGAGGAATACCAATATACTTTTTGCAGAGATATATGGAAAAATTCAATTAATGAGGTTTACAACATTAATTAAATAAATATTTTAGTATAAATTAAGATCTAAACTTGTATATTATTTATTTTATATTTATTCTCCATACATTTTTTCTAAATCTTATATTTTTTTTGTTAAAAAATTATTGCACTATACTAAAGAATGAAGATACAATGAGTAAAAGGACAATCAATAGAATATCACATTATATTCCAGCTCCAAAATTGCCTTTACCTAATCATATTGAATCTTATAATCCACCTTCTGAGTACTTATTTGATGAAAATGAAGTAAATTATAAATAAAACTGTTAAGCAAAGGTGTCAGATTTAGCCTATTTTTTAAAAAATATACACAAATTTTCAACACTTTTCAGCCTGATCTGGATTTTAAAATTTTTTGTTATTCTATGAATGAAAGTTAAATTGAAAATATGGGTAATAAATGAATGGCAAATGATCCATTAAATATTTACAGCCCAGATTATGAAAATATTTTTTTAAGGTCTAGCCTGGTTTTATAATAAAAATTTCTATTTCTAAGCCTGGCCAAGATTTTTAAGTTATGCGATTTTACCTGGATTCTGGATTGAGCCTGCATTAATCGGATTTTGATAACTTCTTTATTATAGTGGTTTCTAATTGTTAAAACACAAATAATGTATTTCCGGTGGTTATTCAAATTATTTAAATATGAATATTATGTTAAAAATGTGGTTTTTCTTAAAATGCAATGTTAATTTGGAAGCATTAAGCGCTTTGTTTGAAATACTATGTAAAACCATATACTCAATCTGAAAGCATAATTAATATACATTAAAACAATGATCTTTTTTAGACTTTAAATTTTAATATTTTAACCTTGTATAATAGACTTGTGGGAGGAGGGGTGATTGATTTTTTTTATATTGAAATGATTTTTTTGGAACATTAAATATTTATTAGAACCAATCATTTTTTAAAAATGGTAATTCAAAATATTAGTAGAGCGCTACTTTAACAACTCTGCACACAACATTGGGCAATTACCTTGGTATTAAAATAAAAATCTATTGAGTATAACCAATATGATGTTCTGGCAGGATATATAATCAGATAGTCCATACAGATATGATTATTAAGACACTATATAGTAACATTTTAAAATTTAAATACAAAAATATTATAAAAAATATCTCTTATCTTTATCATTTACCATTTTGATACAATTTCCTGAGGCCATATTTTAATAAAACATTTTTTTTAAATATTAGTTTAAAATATATTCAATATCATTTGTTGATTAGGGTAGGAAATGAGCTTTAAATGTTAGTGCCCATAATGTCTATTTATATTAAGGCATCATAATGATATTCCAACCATCAAATGTATAAATATGTTTATAATAATTTATATGCAAATGTCTTATGATATTGTACTAATTATTGGACAAGCAAAACTTTTATTTTTTAAACATAAAAAGGATTGTAATAAAGAGTAAAATATTATTATAATTATCTATATGCTATTTAATAAAGTTTCTGGTTAATTTTTATGATTTTTTAATCAAATCCTTTTTATTTTGCTAGAAAAGGATTGATAATTATGCAATTAAATTACCATAAAAAATTACAATTACATGTAGTTAGCATAGTTGTTATAAGATAATTTTGGAATGAACTAAAAATTTATTGAGTTGATATCTTATCTATATATGAATACAGGCCCAGCCCAAGTCATATTTAATATTTTAAATTTACTCTGGCTGGGTCTAAAAAAATGTTTTTTAAAGTAGCCAGGCCGGACCTAAAATATATATTTAGAAAAATACCCACACCATGCTGTATATATCTAAATCCAAATATTTTAAATCGCCATTATTATCTATAAAAATTAAAAATTGGTATAATCTATTTTAAAATCTGACCAGACCTGTCAATATAAAGCGGGGCCAGGCTTAATTTTTTTTAAGAAATAGATCCTGGCAAAGAAATCTCGTCTGGGCCATGCAAATTCTGCATCTCTGATTTTAATATTACTTATATAAATATATAATTGAATGTTTATAAATAATTGTTAGATTTCAATAATTGAACATTATCAAAATTTTATTCATTAAGGCATCCTGTTTATCTGTAGAGACCGTTTTATTCACATAACAATTTTATATTGGGATAATTTAAATATGCTAAAATCTCAACACTCATTTTAAAAAAAAATCATTTAAAATTTGCTTTTATCATGATTTATAATTACATCATCTATAGTGTGCTGAAAAAGCATGTTAAGTTCCGTTATCTTTTTACAATAAGTTGTAAACTTTGATAGTTGATCAACTAATCTGTATGATTGTTTTTTTAATTTAAATTATCTTTCATTTCTATCTAAGTCCAATCAAGTTTGAAATAAGGATGTATTTTAAAATAGGATTTATAAATTGGCCAAGGAATTTGAAACCACTGATGCTGGGTTGATTATTTTTTCTGCTACTTCATCTTCATCACATTTAATATTGATAAAAAAAATTTTACAGTGTTGACATCTAAAATAACAACTGTTTAGCTTGGTAATGAAATAAACCTGGACATAATATTTAATGAATTGAATTCAAATATTTATTTTTAATATAGAAAAACATAAAATAAAATGTACAGAACGGATACTTTATAAAAGTGTATAGTTTTGTATCTAGATACTTTAACAGCTCTGGTAATTAGTAATTAATTATCATCTCTTAGAAGAGAAATGAGTAATTGTAACTAATTCCAAAATTTTTAAGTAATTATAATTAGTAATTAATTGGAATTTGAGTAATTATGCCCAACCCTGCTAACATGTGCATTTTAGCGTTATCTATTTTTGATTATTAAGAAATAGAATACATATTTTTATATATATTGAATTTTTGGCTGTACATAATCAGGTAGAAACACTTAAACACATAAGTTTCATCCATGAATGATTACTATAACATAATGCATTTTATAATTTTTTTTGTGATTTGTAATTATTTGTTGGTCTTATAATTTGATGTTTATTATTATTTAATATATGTTGTATTTAATTATTTAAAATTGTAAGATTTTTTATAATATTAAAAAAAACTTCAGAAATTAGTCTGGGAACAAAAAGAACCAGAAGAGAGGAAAATCGATTTTATACCTAAGAAATATCCAAATTTACGGTTAGTTCCAGCTTATGAAAATTTCCTTAAAGAACAATATGAACGTTGTTGTGATTTATACCTTTGTCCGAGAGTTAAAAAAATGAAGGTTTATTTAAAATTTATTATGTTAAAGTCTACAGAAATGGTCTTAATGTTTTTTTTTAATATAAAGGCTAATCTAGAGAATGCAGAAGATTTACTACCTAAATTACCCAAACCTAGCGATTTGAGACCTTTTCCGACTAATTTAGCTATTGTATATAGAGGGCACACAGGACCAGTAACAAGTGTATCCATCGATAGCATTTTCAATGGCCGTTATCTATGTTCTGGTATTGAGCTAATTAATATATTTTTTAATAATTACCAGGGACATGAAGCAAATGCTATATTGCGTTCCTGTTTCATTCCCGTTGTGGCCGAAAAATATGTTCCATTTCAGGTTTTGAAACAATTTTATTTCTTTTACAACGCAAAGTTTATTTATTATAATTAATAATATATGAATCAAATATTATTTCATCTAGGTATTAGATACAGCCGGCAAATTTACTTTTCCAAAATATATTAAAACTTGATCAGAAAAAATAAGAAATAATATTAATGATAATATTAATTAATATCTCTACAAACTAAATATAGCCTCTCGTTTTGATACAAATTATATGTGGATAAATATTCAATATATTATAAAAAAAAGTTTAATATCTCAACACTCATTTTATAAATATTTATTTCTCACCTTTCTCTATAATAACCATAAATACTCTAAATCTTTTGAAAAAAATATAAAATAAATTATAAACAAAAATTTACTAAGAATTATATGAATAATAGAAATGTAAAATTAAATATTTAAAAGACCGGTCATGTTCAGACCAATAAATAATTAAGAGACCAGTCCGGACTGTAACCTTGAAAAAACTTCATCAACTGGTCTCTGCCTAAGGCTGATAGAACCGGACGGTTGATCTTAACTACCTATAAATTACCCAGAATATCCTTTAAAAAATTTAAGTCCTAATTTTGAGCTATTTTTAATTTATTTACTAAAATTACACAAATTGACTGAAATATTAATCAAGCAATGTTACACATCGGGAACATAATATAAATGAATAAATTGAAATCTCTCAAATAAATTGAATGCAAAATTAATGATGGTAAAGTCTGTATAATTAAGGAAAATGAATTGTGGAAAAAAATAAATTTTAATTTAATCTACCTTGCCTAGAACCTATATGATTTTTTTCTGTTTTCTTTTATAAATGAGTTATAATTATGAATTTTGAATTTTTTTCTATTAACTGGTTAAACTAATTTCGGTATCATTTTATAATTATGAATACAACAAATATGTATATAAATTTACCCGAAATTTTGAATAAACTGTACAGTTCTAGATATAAATATCACTAAGGAAATATAATGCATACAAATATATTTTGTCTGCCAAAATATTTGCATTTTTTATTATTATATTTTTACAGTGTGATGGCTAATTTTTATATTATTACAATTTTTGAATAAATATAATTAACTTATAAATCTTATAGTCATTTAAAAATCTAATTATTTACAAATACAGAAGAAAAATGATAATCAGTCAAATTCACTGTTTAAATACTGTTTTAATAGAATATTTTTATAAATATGATTAATCAAATATATCCTATATTAAAAACCAGTATATCCATAAATATAATATATTGTTTTGTGTATTATTTTATTTTCGTATAAAATGTATTGAGAACATTTAAACTTAATCTTGAAGGGGATATAAAGATTAAATTTTTTTAATAAAAATATGTAGACCAAAATTAGAGGTTGGCTTATATGTAAAAAAATTTTTTTATCGCCTTCTAATCACACTAGAATATTTAACGTATTTATTATGTGTCTAAAATATTAGGATCTAACGATGCCTCTGTTCGCTTTTGGGAAATTGGGACTGGTCGTTGTCTTGCCACGATTTCTGCATTTTCAAGCTTTGAGCACCCAGTTATGAGTGTTGCATGGCGCCCCCTTGGTCGCCCTCCCCTCGCAAATGAACCAGCCTTTGCATTCGCAGCTGGAGATAATGTGTACATATGTGCTCTACCACCACTCATTGTCCCTGGTAATTATAATCACGATCATCAAGGTAGCGAAGATAAGGATAAAACTTCTCATGAAATTGGTAACTTTACTTTTGGCTTTGCTTTAAAAATTCATTGGAATTGAATAAAAGGGATAAATTTCACATTCTTTATAATAATTTCAACTTTATTCAGCTTTTTATATATTTAAAATTTTTTTTATAAATGAATTTTTATTAATGTATCCATGATACCTTTAGATCTTTACATTTTATGTTATAGATTTTAATATTACCGAGATAAGTTAATTTTCAGCAACAGATTCAGAATTAATTGATGAAGAAGATAATATTCCTTTGGCATTTTTTCGGTGAAAGGGTTAGAGATATACAATAGAGTTAATTTATATAAAATAAGATTGATTAATTATATTTCATTTCTAGATTCACTGATAAGTCAGAGCGCGATAATATTAAGTATACCGAATTTCAAATAATTGTTCTCAGAGCCTGTGCACACCTTTTTTAGTTCAACTCGACCCGAGCCCGATTAAAATTTTTTTTACAATTTTAGTTTGAATATTATAACATCCCAAAAAATGTGTGCATTTATTCATTGCCATTTTAAATAAAAGTTTATTTGACAGCTATAATCTAATCAAAATATATATTAGGTTGTATTTTATTTGATTTGTGAAAAAATATTATGAAACAGTTGAAATACAATCATATTTAAAATTTATTGCTATTATATAAAAACAATAAGCATGATTTATATCGAATGTTTATGATATAATAGTTAATATAGAGACTAAAAAAATATAATAATGAATATATTATAATGACACATGAATATCATTATCAAAAGTATCACAAAGTGAATAATTGTTACATATAAAATGAGGAATACAGTTTATTTGGCTTTAAACTAGTCCTTTTCTCTTCAAAGGCCCTACCATCAGTTGAAAACGCTCTTTCACTGCTAGCCGACGAAGCAGGGATAGCCAGGAATTTAAGAACCAAAATATAGCATCTAGACGTTTTTAAAGTTCTTCAACGCTAGCATCAGAAAACGCATTGTCAACCTCCCATAAAGAGAAATCTCAAAACATATCTGCCTCACTATTTTCATAAGAAAAGAAATATTCATAATATAATAATAATTTTAAGATATATAGTTACTTATTTTTTAATTCATAATTTTATTATTAATTAAATGAACCTTTATTCACTACTCTATCTATCAGTTGAATATGATGAGTTGGTATTTATAGATTTTTGCCCAATCATATCTTGGTTGATCTTCTTGGCATTAATCAACGTGTTAATATGTTGGCACAAATCTTTATAATGATCTCGGGATAACATTTTCATACCCTGAAATTTTGGGCACAAAAATGTCGAAATTTGATAGAATAAATCTATTTGAAATTTATCCACCACTATTTCCCGACAGCTGGTTAAGCTACTAGTTTAAGTTTATACGAGCTAAAAAAACTCAATATTTTTTGATAACACAATTTAACTTTATGAATGGTGGGTTTTAAATCACCCTCAAGTTTATCTGTTTTTTATGTCCATTTATATAAAATACATTTATTTATATTTTAATACATTAATTTAATTGAATACAATATATCATTTTATCTTTTTATTATGCCTTGAAGGTATTCTATTACACTCTACTGAGAATCTCCAATATTTCATTGAATTGATTGCTATCCCATCGAGTCTCAATACACAAATGGATTGTTTTTATTAATCTGAAATTAATGCTATATTTTAATAAAAAGTTGATTTAACACTCTGTTTCGTATAAGTAACTAAACCTTTCAATCAATAAAACATTGATATATCTCTGAACCTTGAGATTAAATATTTTTATTATCAACGGTATTCCTTATTACTGTATTTAAAAGATGAGAAGCACATCAATCGTTTATGATTTTTAAATCCTTTAGTCATATGAGTTCATTGGTCTGCAATGAATGGCATTTCAGATAAATATGCCCTACTCCATCCTGTAATGTGAAATTTCTAATAATTTTCTTTTTATTATTTTCACCTATCTTTTTTTCTTCTTCAAACTTGCATGTAAACAATACAACTATTAAGTTTCCAAGAATCGTTTTAGAAATGAATAGTAAGAGTTACATAGAGTACTTTCTTATAATCATCAGTTCAGAGGTTGGTGGGGGCTATAAAAAATTATAAATAATTTAACCATTTCATATATTTGTTACCAGCACATCGATTCTTTTTCAATATGCATTCAATTTCGGAAATAATTTATTGCGTATACCATCAGCAGTATCTATTAAATTTCTAGAAATTGTTGTATAATTTGGAATGATGTTTCTAACATCAATATTTCCATATATTGAGCCAATTTTAGTAAAATGTTGGCAACAATTAACAAAGCCTTCCTCATAAATTGTATCAAATGATCTTAAATTACGTCTATAAAAGGTAAGCACTGTACACTCTTTTTTTTAAATTTGGCACAACTTTTGTATTTTTGGGGATCACAAAAACTTGTTAATTGAGTCTTTATGCTTTTTTAGTTGATTTATGTTTAAAACAATTTAATATCATATATTTAGTGTATAAATATTCTAACCTGTTGCTAAATGCAACTCATATTCTTTGTCTTCATCAGAGTGGTTAAACCCTACTTTTAAAAGTAGCTAGCTAGCGTTATCTCTATCTATCAAAAAAAAGTAGCGTGCTATTAGCTACTATTTTTTAAAAGTAGCTTTCGCTACTATATATAAAAAATTAGAAATAAATTTGTCTATTTTTTGCTTTAATACACAAAATTCAACATTTATAAATTATAGTTAGTTATTGATCATAAAATTTTTTATCTAAAAAGACTAAAATTAAATAAAAATTTTAATTTTATTGCATTTTAATAATAAAATCATTTCTATACTATTATCCCCAAGTCTAGAGCTATGATCAGAAAGTATGTTTCGCCCTATTAAATAATCTCAAAACGCTAGCACCTGAGAGCAAGGCTGTATTTAGTTTTATATACATATTTTTAATATAAGAAAAATTATCAAAATACACTTTTGAGTATTTTTAGATTTAAAAACGCGTCTAGGGGATTTTTTATTATATTAGTATCCTTTATTTCAAAAAAATTTAGAGGAAGACATTTTTCTGGTTCTAATTAGGGCATCTTTGTAGACTATTCAGATTTACCATGAACCTATCACCTTTATATTTAGCATCATCGATTAGAGCATCCTTCATCACTTCAAAGTTATCTGCTATCTTAATAATTAGCGACAATAAATTGTTGTGCCAGGGTATAGAGTTTTAATCATGATGGAATATCAACCAATGATATGGCTAAACTGTATCAAGTATAAAATCGAAACTTTATCAGCCATTTTGGGCATGTGCAATAATATTAATCAGTTTAGTTTGAATTGATCTTTTTTGATGTAGTTTCCCCTATACCAAAATTATTGATGTTTTTCTATCTCTTTAAAACTGTTGGCATGAACATTCTTCCAAAAAAAATGCTATTGGAATTTAAAATTAAGGTGTTTTTTAGGTCATAACTACTAGATTTATTTGAGGATATATTTTTTCTACATTTTAAACAAATAAATTTGTAGTCATCTTTTTTTTACATCAATTTGAAAATGGAAAATTTGTATTATTGTTATTACATTTTCTTCCAGGGTACCCTCCACTTCATTAATATTATCATTGTCTGACTCAATTACATCGATTTTGATATCCATTTGTATGAAATTTTAAATCCAGATGATTTAGGTTCATTATATTTTTGAAAGTAAAAGATAGTGCACTACTTTAACAACTCTGGTTTTCATCATATAAATGAAAACTTTTTCCAGACCTCATATGCCATTGACATTTTGCCTTCAGATTCCTTGCTTTTAATTTTTTCACCAATTTTTTTTAAAATTTGGCATCCATTAAAATAATTTTTTAAAATAGATATTAGTAAAATATAATTTATTTAACTTGATAGAATATGATGAAAGTAAAATATGTAATGCACTAAAATATAATAACATAAAATAGTTTGGTATATGCTTGTTATGTAAATTATAATTGAAAATGACCTGTTATCCTGATTGACATTTTAAGAATAAAATGTTATGATGGTATAATTGACATTATGAATTATAATGATTATTTAGGAAATTTATATTAATATTTATTGCTTGGGTCGGGCCTGCTACGAACATCTCGTACAGTTCTCTATAAGTATATTCCTACACTTAAATTGTCATTAAAATATTTTGATCATTAAATTCTGAATCTGTTTCTGAAAATTGACTTATCTCGCTAATATTAAAATCTGCAGCATAAAATGTATAGGGATCATATTTGATACTAGAGGTCTGCATTGGGCGGGGTTTCGGCCCGCCCGCCCATCTAAGAGGGCGGGTAAAAAATTTCAAGAATGGGCAGGCGGGCGGGTTAAAAAATTTATGGGCGGGCGGGTTATGAAATTTAAACAATGGGCGGGCGGGTTAAGGAAATTTAAAATTTTTGTTCAAAAACAAACTAAAAAATAATTGTTTAAATGATCTATAACAATATTTCTTTTTTTATTGTACCAATCGTTTTTTTTAAGTGAAGAACATTTACCTAACTATATTATGTAATAAACACAACAATAAAAAATTTTTCTTAGAATAAATAAACATTTTTGTCTAAAAATTTCCTTTTATGGGAATGTAATAAAACTTTTCTAGTGCTTTTTCCGAACGCGGAATTAGTATTGCTGGAAGATTTTTAGAACAAGGAAGAACGTGTTTGAATCCAGAAAATGTCGATTCATTATTATATTTGCATTATAATTACATATAATATTAATTTTACATTTATATTTTTTTCATAAATATTAAATTTGATCAAATAAATTGTCCATAATTTACATTGATTATTTTTATACTTATATTAATTTCCTAAATTATAAACTTTTTGCAGAGGTAATACTGAGATATTTTTATTGGATGCTTAAAAAAATGAAAGAATGACCATAATTATAAGCGGGCTTGGGTTAAAAAATTTTTATAAATAATGAATGAGCAGGCGGGTAAAAAATTTTAGACTAATGGACGGGCGGGCGGGTAAGTAATTTTAGACAAATAGGCGGGCGGGCGGGTATATATTTTTTTGAAAACTATGGGCGGGCTGGGCGAGCTGATTAAATTTTTTTTTAAACATTGGATGGGTGCAGACCTCTATTTGATACCTTAATTAAATTGAATTGAAAATATTAACTTTTTGATCTTTTTGAAGAATTCGACTCACCATATGATTTCGTAAAATATTGTTATAATAAATTTTTATAAAAAACGCGCTTGTTTGGGGGTAATTATATAAAATACGATATATAGAAAAATTACCATATTTGAAGTATCATATATGATACCCCAGGAGAGAGGATATCAAAAAATTCTGAAGTAGACATCGTCTCTGGTATTGCAGTTGTGCAGTTGAACTCTACTGATATCCACTACGACTCTCAAAATTATTTGATCAATGTTAACTATATTTCAAAATCTTATCGAAATTCGTGGGATTCTCTCGATTTGGGATTTAAAAATATTTATATTATAAAAATAATTAATAAATACTCCTCTCTAATCTTAAATATCTAATAAATTTGATGTTACAAATTAATTTTTTTTAAATTAAAGAGGCCATTTTTGAAATATCGATTTCCTTCATTCTAATTCCCGATTTGATCTTATTTTTTAAATGTCTTTTAAACATTAATATTACTAGGCATATAGAGCCATTTTTGTTTCTATAATTTTTATTCACATTTATATATTGATGAAAAATGCCAATGTTATAATTTTTTGGAATTTGACGGATCATATCTCTTCCTGAGGGCTAGATTAAAATCTAATATTAGGGCTAATTAATACTCTTCTTACTTACACTGCATATTCCTCATTGAAATCTAAATGGTTTAGGGAGGGGCTCACTACAAACGATTAGACATGAAATTGGTTATTTATATATATTGGTTAAAATCCTTTATATAAAGTTTAATGCTAGATATCGACCTTTAAAAAAATGATAGGACGGATTTTATACCATATCAAAAATTGATAGTTCCTTATATTTAGAATAAGATTCCTGTATGAATTTGTCAACTCCAACCAAACTCGGATCGGATATACAGGTTTGGAACTTGACTTTAAAAATTTTATTCAGGCCCTACTCAAACCTCGACAAAATATTACATTATTTAACATAAAACTAGAGTTTTTATTTGTATAGTGTTTAGAATTTTTCCCCATTCCTTAAAAAAGGATCTTACTTTTTCTTTACTCCAATCAATCAATATATTTTCCTTCAGATCGGATCAGACTCATTTTTAAAAAATTTCATTTCAGATTCAGATCTTTCAAATAAAGTTTTATATTGGTAGGGCAATCTTGGGTTGGGCTGAAGCTATAGTGCATATGCAGGGCTCTACATAATATGGTCTGGGCACTCAGTTAGCAGTTGTATTATAAAGCGAAGTTTTTAAATCCAACTTCATCAAATCGTTATGAACTCCAATCTAATAAGGGCTGGGGTGGGGATACAATATATTCCCTTCAATAAAAATTTATTTTTGGTTGGCAGTTAAAGATAAGGTAATGACTAAAGATAGTATGGACGCTGATGGAAAAACCGCGGAAACTGACTTAGAAAATGAACCTACTGAAGATCCAAGTTAGCTTTTATTGTTTTTTTTGAAAATTTTGGTTTTAGTCATTTTTAACTTAATATTTTAGATTATTTATGATTAAATTATAAATTTGAATATCAATGTAAAGCTACTAGGGCCAGGAAAATATTAAATTACATCCTAGTAGCTTTTTGAAATCCCTTATAACTAAGGGTAAAACTTTTAAAGGTAACCTATTCTTACATAGTATAGTAATGTTAGTTACCTCAAAAACGTAAAATTTTATTATTCATAAATATATATAGTTTAGCATAATATGCTTAGTTTAATTCACCAAGATCTGCAAATCTTATTTTACTTATCAAATGTTATATTATTTAATAACCAACCCCTTCAACAAATTTCAAAAATATAAATTTTGAAGCAAAGAATGGAAAAATATTTATTTTTAGAGAATTCTAGATTTTTGAGTGGCAAATTAAACAGTAGTGACGCCTATGGCATAATTGCGCTCGAGTTGTCCTTCTATGAAGGCTTTAATTCTATTTATAATTGTTTTTTTACAGAATCGATAGTAACTTGGATTAAACCTAGTAAGAAGCAGAGAGACATGAACATCCTATTTATACTTAAACATCCTAAAGTTACAAAATTCTATTTGGATTTTATTTATTTATTGCTATTTATAAGTATCATTTAAGAATAAAATTGAATCTATCTAATATGACCAGAAGAGGAAGAAAAATATAAATTGATTAAGAGCTAAAAAAATTATTATGAAAAACAAAAAACCGTTTTTATTATTCAACTAATCATTTTTTTAGTTTTAAATTAATAAATTTTCCTGAAAAAATAAGAATAAAATTTTTCGCAAATTTTACTTTTAGCATTAAAATGTTATTTTATGTAATTAAATTTTGATTTATTATTTTCTATAATAATTTTTTTGGTGTTAAGTTATAATCAAGTGCTGCAAAAAATTTATTTAAAAATCAACGCTGGGTACTTTTAGTAAAAAATTACGCCGTTGCTATTTTGACAATAAGTTATCTGCATCGGACCTAATTTCCCAAGCTCGACCCGAATTTTTTAAAAAAATTATCCAGCTATATTCTGGGACATTGCAGGACCTTATTTCCAATTTTCTGTTACAAAAATTCCCGAACGAATTATTTGTCCCGAAAAGCTCGACCCAAAATATAAAATGTCCGCCCGAACCCGAATTTACTTAAATAAAGAAAAATTTAATTTTTTTTTTATTGTAAAAAAACATTACAAATAAAAGATATTATTGTTTCGTGCAAGAATTTTAAAATATATCAATTTATTTGACAAAATGTAATATCATATTTAAAAATTTAAAGCCAGGCTCCGATTTTTTTTAAAAAAATATTGGACCCGATTCAGCTCAAACCGAAATTATTTTGGGTATGGGCCGGGGTGTAATCTGCAGATCTCTAATAGACGTTGCTTTACAGCACTCAATAATTCGCTTTGTAAGGCACTATTTAACAAAACTAAACTTGACCATGCAATACTTTAAAGGATATTTATATTTATAAAGCAAATTTTTAAAATTATAGCTTGTCACAAAAATTGAATGGCACAAAGGCGCGGATTACATTTTATCGGTGTGTGCAAAAAATGGTGCAAGCTCAATCATTTTGAACAAAATATCCCAGAAACATTCCCAGGTTAATAGAAATCAATAATTTTAAAATCATACCATTTGTCAGCCCACAGGTTCTGATTTATTTAGATCTCAAATATATTTTTTTGGGCCAATAAAATTAAAATTTTTAATTAAAAAATAATAATTTTCTCAATATTTTTGAACAATTTTAAGCTCGAATTAGAGTTGTTTATCATAAATTTTTAATAATTTAGAAACCATTCTGATTTCCTCTTTTTTTTGTGATTTTTAACAAAATTTTTATAAAAAATATTCAAGGCACCTTTTAAAAAGATGAAAGGAAATATTCAAACTGCATCATTTCATCCTAAGGCGCCAATTCTTTTTGTGGCGGTAATTAATGAATATATTTATTTATTTTAAATTATACTTAATAGATAAGAACTTGTTCAGTTTTCATTTTAAGATATAAATGAGTGTTATATACTCCACTTTTGTTATTATTAAGGTACTGACTTGGTTTTTATAATATTATTGGCCGATATACTAAGTAAGCTGAGATCCAGTCAGATTAAAAAATATTGAATCGTAATGGTATAGAATATTATTTAATGATAACTATATTATAGCTAGTACCGATCTGGCAATAAAATGCCCATGGCCCTAAATATTAATGCTATATTTCATTTTTATTCTTCATTCTTTGCCAGATTGAATATCACAATTATATAATAAATTTAAAATATAAGAAAAGTTTAAAAAAATTAGGAGGTTATTTAGTATTCATTTTCATATCATATTTTGTAATAAATAGAATAATTGATTTCTCAAAGTTATTGCTGAATATTTAAATTTTATGCATACCATAAAAATAGAGAACAAAATAAATATGTTGAGTGTGAGATTTCTTTCTTATAAAAGCCTTTTTTTAGAAATTCTGGTCGTGGGCCACAGGCGGGCTTGGGCTAAAAAAATTTGTTTTTCTATATCATATTACTATGAAGATCTTACCATACTAATATAAACTGGGCCAGTCCCGCAATAAAATTTTTTTTAAGTCTAGGCTAAGTCGGCCCTATATTTAAAAAATTCTCAATTCCCCAAAATTATTCCCAGGCCTATATCCTAAAATTTAATTTATTGTATTTCATGGAAATAAAATATTTAAGTGTATTTATACAATCATTTTGTTTATGATCTGAATATTTTATCATTAGAAGAATAAAAATTGTAATATTTTTTAAGTCAGAACTAAATTTAAATTACCTATTTTATATAATTTACTTAAGAATAAGTATATTCCTTTCATTCTAATATTTGTTCTATATCTTTTATAAGGCAAAAATTCGGTCGCATAATTACATAAATATGGAACGAGAGAGTGAAACATTTTTCTTTAAGATAACTATTGACTATATTTACTTTTGAAACTTTAGGTCTAATAGTATTACTAATGCCTTAAATTATGTTAATAATAATACATGTGAAGATCAGTATTACACATTTTTTTATGAAGAGATATGTCAACATTATGATATTACATTGGAGAACAAATGTTGAAAATTTCTAAAGTCCTTCATGGACGAATCGGTCGAGACAGACATTCTCTCGTTCAGATTCGGGCCTTAATTTTATTTCCATAAAAACCACAAAATTGTTTATTATACTTAAGCGCGTATATTTTTTTCTGATTTTGTTGAAATATCCTGTTTTTTTTCAATAGTAATAAATCGAATTGGACTTTTAAAAAAAAACTCGGTAATGAAAAAGGTCGAATACAGGGTTCTAGTTAAATGAAGCTAAATTTATGCTACATTCTTTTTGAAATGACAAAAAATTCTCTTTTAGATTAAGTAATTTTAGAATAATATGTCTTCTTCCCAGTTAGAATTAAATAATTTAAGTTCAGGTTACGTCATTCGATTTAACACACTCTCTAGCATCATGAAAATGGTATGCCAACATGTAGGGACGTTTAGTTTTTTTTAAATAAAAAATGTAAAAATTGTATCAAAATGTATCTATACAGCTAAAAATATCTAGATACACAACATTTTTGTATTTTTATTTTAAGTCTTCTACATGTAACAACCAGTATTTTCTTTATAGTTTTATTTCAAATATATGGTCTCTTTATATAAACTATTCTTTTAAAGCATTTTGGATACATTAGAGGTGAGAGTTTATGCTCAGGTCTTATAAAATATTTGCTGGCCCTTCAAATTTGAAAAAAAATGATGAGATTATCTTATTTAGTGATCATTGTTTTTATATGGATTTACTTCTTAAATAATTTTTCTACATGTATTATAAAATAAGAGATCCATCACTTTTTTAGGCATGAGTTATTTTATAAATATAGGAACGCTTTCATAAAATGAAAAAATAATTATACGATTATATAAACTCTTGAATATATACCTTTAGACACAGAAATACGTTAAGATATATAATATGGTGCAAAAAGAATTGACCAAGGTTTTGATATCATCTTGTAAATGGATCTCTAGCTTAGCTATTCATCCTTCCGGTGATAATTTAATAGTGGGAAGCTATGATAATAAGGTGGCATGGTTTGATATTGATTTAGCCTGCAGGCCTTATAAAATTTTAAAGTACTTTTTATGTTGTTATATATTACTTAATTAAGTTTTTGAATTATATTAATTTAAGATTTAACTTTAAAATAATTACCTTGCTATTTTTATGCTATATATTTTAAATAATAGTTTTAAATAATAAAAATATAATATTTAAAAATCCGCATGCCCAAATTACAAGATTTCATTCAACGTCAGTTCGTGCGGTTGCTTTTCATTCAAAGCTACCTCTTTTCGCTTCAGCTTCTGAAGACTCTTCATTAATTATAACTCATGGCATGGTTTATAAGTAAATTATTTATTATTCGATTATTAAAAATAAATTAAAATAAAATGCCTTGTTTAAATATTTTTTATTTCCAAAGGACTAGCTTTCCAAGACACTGGGAATCGGCTACCTTTTTAATTCTAAGAATCACACATCTTTAAAAATAGTCTATATTATTTTAATTAAATATGTAATTTCATTTTTTTTATATTCTTATCTTATCAAGCATTATATATATATAATTTAAGCGACCTATCTCTAAATCCTCTAATAGTGCCAGTTAAAATATTAAAGGGCCACCAGAAATTAACAGGGGGCATTTTGGATTGTGTATTTCATTCTAGACAACCGTGGATTTTTTCGGCTGGAGCCGATTGCAATATACATTTGTATTCTTAAAAAAGAGAGTTATGAAATTTCGAAACAAAATTATGAGTGTTGATTATTGACGTGAAATGTATAATTTTTTATGATATACAAATAATTCCATTTATGGAGTTTTTATCACTCGTATGCTTTTATAATCGGCAGTACACTAACTACTATGTGTATTATTTAAATAAATCAAATTTGAAAATATAAATTATTACTTTATTTTACTTGTCAGTTACATATATATTTTTTCAGGTTTAGAAACTCAGGCTCCTGATACATACATAAAAGTATATGTTTGTATAATATGATTAAACAACGATTTTGAATGTACGGTTCAGATTTGGTTCATAAAAAAGAATAATTTTGAACCTTTCGCTTATACATATTAAAAAAAAAAAATTTTTAAGATTTTTATAAATACAGGTCCTATTATAACAATCAAACACCTTTTATGAACTATTATGTAGATGATTATTATTTACTTTAAAAAAAAAATACTATTGAGCTAATTAATATGATTAAAATTTGAGATTATCTATTAGGCGAAAGTATAAATTTTATAGCAAATCTATAAAATTAAATAATTTATTAATTTAATTTTTTTCATAAATCTTTCACTTCCTCGTTTTCTTTGGCCTTTATTTTTCTTTAAAAAGATTTCATTCGCCGCAAATTCTTATTATTTGTTTTTCGCTAAATCTCGGTTTTTACGCCAATTTCTTTGTGAATAAAGTATATAGTATATCAAAAAAATTTATATAATAAATATTTTATTAAAATTTATTTAAGTAATTTATCTCATTTTTAAAGCTATTCATTAGACGAGACTGCGTGATGCTTACTAGAGGAATTATAAATAGTCTATTTTTAATCTTGCTAGTTTTGGTTTTTTTAATGAGATATAAATAAAAAAAATTCTGAATCGAGCAACATCTGTAAATATTCTACATAAAACTTCTGCATAATAAAGGGGTAGGAGCGATTTGCCTCCAATTTTATTGAGGGTCAGAAGGGTGGGTTAGGGTAAAGTAAGAATAAACACTATCTAGATTAAAGATAAGAATAACTGGAAAATTGAAATTAATAAGATATTTATTTCTCATTCATTCACACACAGATAACATTTTAGTACAGTTTGAAATTATACATGTTTGTGACTAATAGTTAGAGTACGGTTAGTAACAACTAGTTGATTACCACCAACCGATGATTATTTATCATTCCTGGCCTAAATAATCATGAGCCCTGAAAGAGTTAAAATTATTCTGAGGTTATAAATTATGGCTTATAAATTTTTTTAAATATATCATGGGATTGTTAGAGCATAGTGGGTATGTAAATATTTCTGCTGAAGTCCGTGAATTTTTCTTTAGTTGGGCAGGGGTAGATTTTGAATGGGGTTTATATTCAAAATTTTATGTCATGTAGACGCTGCCTACATAATATTTTATTGTCAACATGTTCCTAACTATTTATTTTTTATATATGCGTCAATCAATAAAAAAAATGGTTTATTGACAAAAAGACACCTATGAACTTGATAAAAATATCTCAATTTATTATTTCTTTCATAGTAAATTGATTTATCATAATAACTAACAACCTATCTAATTAAAATTTTCAAATTCTACTTAAACATTTAAAAGATTTTGTTAAAATTTAACTATTTCTTTCCTATAGAGTTGTTAAATCAGCTACATCTTAACTGTCGAAAAAAAATCGCTAAGCTTTTAAGCAAGAGTATATTTTTTTAAGATTAAGCTATCCTTTAAGTTTAAACTTCTATCGAGTCTAAGATAGTTTTCGCTTAAGAATTTTAGTCTTCTTAGAGATGACCAACACCTAGGGGTGGGACCAATACCAATATAATATTGGTTTACAATACCAATACCAATATAAACCAATATATATTTAAATATTGGTATTGCTTTTACAACCAATACCAATTACCTAAATATATTGGTTTTGATATATTGTTTAAATACAATTTTAACCAATACCAATATTAAAAGTAACATAATTATTTGGGTTTATCGTGGATAATTATATCGTGGTATTTTTTTTACTTTCATTGCAAAAACTAATTACATCTATTATTTCTTCCAAATACTACTGTGATATCAACATTTCTGTTATTTATAATTATAGTTTATTTTTATTATGGAAGTAAATTTTTTACATGATATCTATCAATTTTATCTATTTATTTAGGATATTATAATAAATGAAGACCAAATAGAGTTAATAAATATAGATGCTGTTGGTACTAATAATAATAGCGATAAGGAACAAGAAGAATTATCAATATCTAATAAAAAACAAAATTCAGCAAAAATCTGGGAATTTTATACTACTTGTGATAATAAAAAAAAAGGCAATTTGTAATAAATATAAAAAAAAATATCACTTCCCAATTTTGGAACCTCAGGATTATGGACACATCTTAAATCCATCCACCCAACATTATATAAGAAATGTGAGCAAATAAATATTGGCAGTAAAAAAATTAAGACAATAAAATCATTTTTACTTAATAATATAAATAAATTATAAACTTTTTCATTCAAAATAATTTAGCCTTTTCAATAGTTGAGGATATCACTTTTAAAAATTTAATAGCATATTGTAACCCTTCACTAACATTAGTTTCTAGAAAAACACTAAAAATAGAAATTATGAAACATTATCATAGTTCTTTTATCAATTTTCTAACAATCTAAATTTTCGTTAACAATGGACATTTGGTCCTCTCCAAATAAAATACCCTCTATGGGTATAACAATTCATTATATTGATAATGATTTTAAATTAAATAATCATTTATTAGATTTTATTCCTTTTAAATCAGACATAATTCTATTAATATTTTTAATTCTGTATTAAAAGTAAAATTTGAAATTGATTTTTTTTTGCATTACATTAGACAATGCAAGTAATAATTTAGCATTTCTAAAAATTTTAAAACAAAAAGATAATTTTGATAATGTGTGCAAATGCTTTTACCATATTATACATTTGGCTGTCATGGCTACATTGGAACCCTTAAATACAACTTTAAATAAGAAATTTTTAAACTTTCTATATCTAAATTTAATAAACGCGAAAAAATATATCTTGAAAAAAATCCATACTTAAAATTTCCTCACCCAATTTTGGATATAACAACACGTTGGAATTCAACATACCAAATGCTTGAAAGAGCAATATTGCTTAAACCCTATTTGACAACATATACCAATAATTTACAAAATACCAATCAAGAAAATTATATTAGTGCCTTAGCCTGGAATAATATAGAAATATACCGAGAATTTCTGGAACCATTTAATTTTGCTACAGAGAATGTGCTAATACTCCAACAATTTCAACAATTATTCCTTTATATTCCAGTATTTTTGAGCATGTGGAGAGTTATAATAATAATTCTAATGCTATTTTAAAGACAGCTCCTTTAGCTGCCTTAACAAAACTTAATAAATACTATAATTATAATAAACACCTCTTTAATATTTCAACAATGATTGGCCCAAGATTTAAACTATCAAGTCATTTATTAAAGCATAATAATATGGAAACTCTTATTGGATATCTTGCTAATGAATACAATATTTATAAAATAAATAATAACAATTCAGCGGAACTTACAAATGAGCACAAAATAACAAAAAATTGTCCTTTTATGACAAAATTTATCAGGTGAAACCTCATAATAATAACAACTTAGAAATAAGTAAATACGTAGATGAAGCCACAATTTCCAATGATACAAATCCATTATATTGGTGGAAATTAAATAAAAATAGATATCCAGTATTATCAAAAATTGCCAGAGATTATCTATCAATTCCGGCCACCTCATCTAGCTCTGAAAGGGTTTTTTCAGAAGGACGGTATATTATAACAGACCAACGTTGTTCACTAGATGAGTATACTATATAAGCTTGCCTGTGCCTAAAAAGTTGGATGCGCATGCAAGATTCTTCTTAAATACATAAAATTATTTTCTCTTATATTAAAATTATATCATTCTTTTGCATTATATTTTGTATAAATAGACAGTTATGTTACATTTTTAGTTTACTTATTTTGCTATGTTCTTTGTGATAAATAAAATGGTTCAAAATCAATACGTTTATTATTGTTGATACAAAAAATACATGATTAAATCAAAAATTTTTATATTCACATCACCTAATAAATTCCTAGTTTAAAAAAAGAATTTAAATTCAGTAAAATTTTGAGAGTTGGTTCTTAGCCCTGATTTTATGGTATCATGATTTTTTTTCCCATGTTTATTTAAAATTAGAAATTAAGGGTTTTATAATCACTATTTCTATTCTTTTAATTAGTAATTTGAATTTAAACCAATACCAATATAAACCAATAGCAATACCAATACAAGAAATAGAAAATATTGTTTTAACCAATACCAATATTTTAGACCACCCAATACCATGTTAATATTGGGTTTTTACTATTGGTTCCCAGCCCTACCAACACCTATTAAAAATGAAGCTATTTATTACCACTACTTGTTGGTAGTGAAACTCACTTTAAATAAAAGAGAAGACTTATAAAAATTTATATGAAATTATTAAAAATATTGGAAAGCAAAACTTTTTTATTCTCTATTTTTTATATGGCTAAAGAAGATTTTAGACTATAAAAATTTTATAACAGAAAAAAAGTTCTAATTTAACACTTGAAAAATTATTACAATTTTTTTACCGGGGGAGGGGGGTGGCTCAGATCATCTAAATTTAGGGCTTAAAATAATTTAAAAAATAAAGGATACTCTCCCCACCCTCCCCTAATACATCCCTGTTTCCTAGAAGCATAAACATGACTTTATATTTGTTGGATCTTTTTGAAGAATGAAGTGGATCTTATTCATTAATAAAAAAATCATAAGACAATTTCAATATATCTAAAAAATAGAAAATTTTATACTGCAAATTAGTTAACAAGAAATTATTTGATTATAAGGGAAGGTAATTCTCTGGCAATGGGGAAGTCTAGAACATCTATTTTAAAGGTCCAAAATTAGCGAAATTATTTTATTTATTACTAGAGCATTTATTTATTTTACTAATATATATATTTAAAAAATTTACAAATATAACTAAATATAAAAACGAATAAAATAAATATGAAATATTAAAAAAATTTCTATGAAAACTATAAAATCATGGATTGATGAAAAAATTTGATCTGCAAATTTTTAAGTCAATATTCTGGCGCAGATAAAAGTATCCTTCAGGATCGCCGTATACCACTGAAGGCTTTTTCCTATAGATCTTACAAAGGTAGGGTCTTATGTTCAAAATTGACAACTATTGCTACCATGAGAACGAAGTGGACATTGTTTAGGAATTAACGTTAATTTCTTTTGCCGTTTTCAGCTCCAGAATTAATGAGTAAATCCTCATTTGTTCGGAGGAAAGATTTGACTGAAAATGGCTCCAATCCATCCACTATCAAAATTTGCGAATTTGAAATTACTTAGGTCTCCTAGTTATTAGTTCGAAAAAAAAATTCGACCAGGGGAAAATTCCAATTCTTTTGAGTGGTTTACGAAGGGTATGTTTATATTATGTATCTATTTTCAAGATAATAAGAGCTTATCTAAATATTTATCAGGTTGAGGGGCTAGCATAGTGATTACCTGTTTGTTAAAAGCCTTGAAGATATGAAAGCGGCTACTGAAAGATGAATATAGGACCGAATTACAAGACCACCTGAGGATGACAGATAGGATCAACGTCTACTTGAGCGGGAGGGGTAGGAACAATTTGCATCTTATTTTTTTGAGAGGGTAGGCTGCTTTAATGTGGGTAGGATAAATTTTTTGTGGGGTTATCTATTAAATTTTGAGATGAAATAGGACACAATTTATTTCTGTAAAAATTAATACTTTTATTATAGAATTATTATAATACAATTATTGACCAAATCTATATATTGCAAAATCATACACATTGTTTTCCAAATCAGCAAGCTCATAATGCCATAATAATTAATTCATTGTAAATAATGGTGGTTTTAATTGAATTTATTATCTAAAAAATAAATTATTTATATTCACAAAATATCGATAGTTGGTAGTAGAGATAGATTAATTTAAGTTATCCTTATAAATTCTGAAAAGAGTATCAATATAATTATAAAGGTGAAAATAATAATAAAGAGACACTGCCGCCGAAGGCTGCGGGATTAGGGTAGTCAAAGGTTTTTAAGGGGGTTTGCATCCAGTGAATATCCTGTCACGTAGAGGATAAAATAAAGGAGAGAATTTTCTCCAGATATTATTTCACCTGAGCCTCGTAATTGACTTAAATGTCTGCATATAAAACAGGGACAAAACGAAAGTCATGGATTAATTTAAGGATATGGAGGAAAATTTTGATTAAGAATGCATGGTGTGAGGAAAATTTTGATACCAGATCTGTTGGTGTTTAATGGATTGTTTAAAAAAAGGAGAAGTAGTTAGGACCTCAAGACTTGTTAGATTGATCTACTATTTTAAAAGGGAAACTGCGAGATTCTAAAGAAATATTTGAGGTATTTTACACTAAGGGATAATTCAGTGAGATAGATTTCTAATATTTTAGGAACTTTTAGTAGTTCGTCTAAATCGCCTTCTAATGTTACCATAATCTAAGTAACAGATATTTAGGTCGTGGTTAACCTTTTTCCTTTATGCTGTCATGTAAGAGATTTCATATCCTATTGAACGAACGTGAACGCGTTTATTTTTTTTTAAAAGTGAACGTTGAACGCGAATTCTTTTTGTCAATGAACGTTGAACGCATTCGATTTTTTTAAAAATGTTTATAACACTAATAAATAACTGTACATAGCAACGTTGATTATTAATTGGGTTAATTGTTAAATTTAGACTATTTTTCTCTGAACAAAATAAAATATTTTGATAGAAAGGTATTAATTTATTTTTTAAAAAACAATTAATTTATCTTATGTTAGAAATAAAAGTATGCCAAGGTTAATTTGAAAGATTTCTGTTTGTAAATAAGATCTATCAATCAAAGGAGAATAAATATTATTATAATCTTCTATCGTTCTCTTGATTAATTTTTTTCTCTAAAATTTAAAAACACCATAAATTTTTATGAACAAAATATTAAAATAAATTATTTTTAAATAATGAACGTCATTATCATTCTTAAAAATTAGAACTGGACTCGTTTGAAGATATATTCAAACCTCACTGTTGAGTGATATTAATCTTTTTCTTGTTAAAAGGCAAGTTGTTAAAGTATCTAGATACTTCTAAAGTGTTTGTATCTAGATACTATTCTAGAGGTAAATTTATCCATTTCGATATAATTTTATTTTTTTATATTAAAAATAATATTAGAATTAAATTTACTTAATATATCCGAGTTTATTTCATTACAAATACAAACCAGACAAATTAAATTTTACGCAATTAATGAAAACATGGTATATTTTATATTATAATTTATTTTATTTCTATTAATTTAAAAAATATATGCTTTTTAGATCAATATTTATTTAATATTAGATTCTTACCACCTCTTAGATAATATAAATTAGGGTTAACCGATAAAAATTAATTTGATTTAAATCACCCCGATTTTTTTTAAAAATCAGCGATTTAAATCAATTTTTATAAAATTCTATTTACTAAATTTGATCAAAATACTTAATATAAGGAAAGATAGAGATTTAGATTATTTTAGAAATAAATTATTCTTATATGAAACTTAATTGTACTAGTAATCTTATCTATTGGATAAAAAAATATATCATTTATTTTGAATTTTATTTCATTGTTTGAATTTTTGATATAATTGTTAATACCATATTTCTAATCTCAATGTATTGAGAAATTATTTATTATTTAAATAAAAATTAGTTTGTTAAATTCAGGGCTGTGAACCTTCCTTCTAAAAATGGGATCTGGTTAAGTGAAAAATCTCTAAACCCTCTTCTGGTTCAGGATTTGCAGTTCAGAATAATAAAGACTTATAAAATATAGTAAAAATATCTGAAACATCAGTTTCTTTAAAATTTATTTTACTATATTTAGAATTTACTATATAAATAATTGTATCATTAACATTATAATGAGAACAACACAATTTAAAAAATAATCGATGTTTTTTAAAATATATAAGAGAATTATGATATCTTCCAAAATCTAGATGTTAAAATTAAAAGATCGATTCCTTATGCCTAATTTGACAGTGTATTGCAACTTTTCATGCACTTGAGATATTGGTATTTAAATTTAATTGTTTAAAAAACTAGTTTTCCTAAAAGATTCCTAAGTTTTGAATACACTCCATATGATGAGAATACAATCTACTGAAGCTGTTGATTGTTTTACTTATTTCATCTGAAAACATAATTTTATCAAACGGGTCAGATGCAGCTTGGATTTACCATAATTGTAAGTATAATGTTGATTTTTAGGATGGTAGGTTATAAAAACAACCATATAATAATAATTAAATAATAAACTAATCTATTCTAAATTTTGTCAATAACCAAACATTTTAAAAATGAATAGATTGCTTATTTGATTGGTGTAATATTTTGTTATAAACAATTGATTTATACGAAAAGGTTAATAAAACCATATTTATCATAATATAATTTAGAGACCTTTTAATTTTTTTAAATATACCGGGCAGTGCCTAAAAAATTTTTTGTAAAAAAAACTCGGGCATTATATTTTAAATTGCCATTATTATCTATAAAAATTTTAAATCCGGTCTGGGCCCGGTCTATAAAATCCGGATCAGGCCACGCAAATAGTACCTCTGCAGTTCTCTGATATAATTTTTAAAAGCAGCTATCAAAAAAGGGAGGAGAAGGAGAGTTCTAAAAATTTTAATTTTTTTGGACATACTAAACAATTGCCACATTCAAGTTTATTTTAAATTAAGAGTATTAAGGAATATTTTAATTTGGCTGATGCATCAGGGCACCCGATTGGTAAATAACAGTAGCTAAATTAAAAATAATAAAACCACCATTATTATATTAGTCAAAAAAATAAAATTTTATATTTGTTTAACAGTTTTATTTAACGATATTCATAATATTATTCGTTTTTGAAAATGAACCGACTCACTGATATCGATTAGTTAAAATTTCTTTAAAGAGTTTGCACATCATTGAATATTTGACTGACAGTCGGCTTTTCATTTGACAAAATATCAAATTAGCTCATGCTGACCGGATCTCCAGAAGCATTAACATAAAAAGAAATGTTATTAAAATTTAAAAAAAATTATGATGTATTTTTTTCAATTTAAATCTGTAACTTCTCTATTTGAAATATTAGTATTTGGTTTAAATCGCGATTTAATGATTTTTTCAAAAAAAATCACAATTTGTCAACCCTAATATAAATATTAAGTTTTAATACTTATCAAATTTTGAGTAAGTTTTTTAAATGAGTGTCAGAATTTTAATATATTTAATGATTACCAATATAAAGTTGTTATTTATTAAATATAACCATTTTGCCGTCAAGTGCCCCGGCAGAAATAGTTTGGTAAAAAATTTCTATAAAGGGGGTAATGATATCATTTTAAGTATGTTTTTATATTAAAATATAACAATTATTTATATTCATTTAATTATATATCTGTATATTGATGTGATATCAGCTTAGTCAATTTTTTAAATTACATCTAAATTCAAATTTCAATAGAATCGGAAATTAAGCATTATGCAAACCTTACATAAGTATAATAAAAATGTATCTGCATTTGAATTTTAATAACTGTTAAAACATATTAAATTTCTTCACCAAGACAAAACTTTATTGGGTGTATGCATTTCAAAATAAATAAAATTGGAAAAAACATAATACTCTCATTATATTTAATAATGTAAATTTTTTATAAACGATTATGGGAAGAGTATCCATATAATTTTATGTAAAATTTAATGGGTACAATAATAAATCTAATCGGGATTTATTTATCATCATAAAGAGCACTAAATATTGCCTAGATGACAAGATAGATTTTAAAAAATTTTTTGTTAAAAATCATTAGTTTGAATCGTTTTAAATTCTAATTGTTATAGTTGTAAATAAAATATCGCGATAGTTTAAGTAAATTGTTAGTTAAAATGTATCTTTATTAATATCACTTGAAGACAATCCTTTTGAATTTAGTGTATCGGAAAGGGAGGTCCAAAATGGATTAAAAATAAAATGGTATGTGTTTATTAATTTAAACATATTTTATCGACATTATTGCTAGCACTATCGTGATTCGATATGTAAACGTTACGATTTTAGTCTATGCATTCTTGACTTTTACGGACGCACTCCTTTACACGTTTTTTAAATTCTAAAAAATTGTCGCGAAAATCTTTCTAAATTAAAATAAAATTATAAAAATGATTTTAATACAATATATATTTTAGATTAATTCTTCATTTATAGTAAGCGATATTCGCTCAAGCGAATCGCAACATATGATTTCATTTCATCATAGCGAGCGATGTAACTCGTTTTATTGCATAGCTCAGTCATTATAAATTATATCTATTATTTACTTACTTTTGTAAATTAGGCAGCGATGAATTAAGCAAATCGCGCTTACTATAAATTATGGTAACTAAGATATCTAAAATAAGTTGTATGGTTTCCCTAAAGTAGTGTTCGATTGACGGAATAATACTTGAATTTTTTTTGAAAAGCTTCTTATCTAATATATTACCATTAGAAAAATGTATAATTGCAATACTGAGAATTTAGCCTCCTTAATAAAATGACATGAGATATGCAAGGCCCGGTCCATGGGTTAGGCAAATTTTAAAAATTAACGTGCTGGGTAGCGAAAAATTTTTAATAGGCCTGACCAGGCAATTAATGGGCCAGAGTTTTGGCATATCAATTAATCATATTATTTGAAAAATGGACATTATTTAAAATAATAATTGAAATATGTTAGGATGAAAAATGACATGTTATTCTGATTGACATTTATATGAAACAAAATGATTATTGGGGATATTTTTATTATCTTTCTACATACTTTTGGAACAACAAAGCTTAAAATGATTATACTATAACTAAATGATTTATAAATATTTATATATTTTGATGAATTTAACTATAGATTTAGAATTTGATATATAGTCTATTTTAAATGACTTATTATAGTTATGGTATAGTCATAAATGGTGGTATACTATAAAAAAAAGTAGATAAGCCCACTGGAAATATTAAATATGTATAACAAAAAAACAGTTCCATGATTTGGAATTAGTAATCAACCTATATTAACATAATATCAGATTGGTCTCCAAAAGGTGGTATAAGTACACCTCTTGAAATCAGGAATATCATCTTAAACTGCCATGAATTTAATTGCAAAATTTTTTATTTTATTAAATAAACTATAAAAATTTTTTAAAGAATTAAATGGCAAGATATCCTTCAAAAAGCATATAAAAATTTCCAACTAGGACTAAGAATGACTAACATGAAAGATTAAATTCTATTTTCCTCACCTTAATTAATCATTTACTTAATTATTATTAATAAATTTGGTTTACAAAATATATTAGGTTTCTAATATAATTAAATAACTTGATAGAGTATAATTTTTCATTAAACAGTTCACTTTTAAACTTCATATATAAGTTAGATATAATATACATATATCCAATAAATTTTATATATGTCAATATTTCAAAGTGTTGTATATCACAAATAAAGTAGCTATTATTTTAAAAATTATCTCATATAATGACATTTTTTTATAATAAAATATTATGTCAACGAACTTAATATATTATCTTAAATTTATATTTCTTACAGCTGCATCTACATTTGCTGGAGATTCAGTATTAGGATCTGCTAAAAGTGAAATGACACTGTGAAGTATTGATTCTACTGAATGAACTGGAAGCCACCGTTCACTTGCTTTCTCATAACCGTACGAATCCTCCCCAGGCTCATGTAATATTGAAATACATACATCTCCATCTTTAGAAACTACAGTGTTTTGCAAATATAACTTTAATCTTATTAAAATTATACCATTTGGATGCCACATTTCACATAGAAATTTCATCTTAGGGGGTTTCATAGGATATTCTGTTGGGAATTGCAATTGAGCTTTAAAAAATCCGCCTTCACTGTAGAATATGTATTGAGGTTTATTTAATTATAATAGTATTAAAATATACTATAAAGTATCAGGTGGTCCAACTATCATAACGTTCCATAAATAAATGTTATCATCATTGTCTAAACCAACTGAAAACCCAGGTTCTGGATTTTTAAGCATTTCTATATAAATTTATTATAATAGATATAACAAAATTTTACCTTTTAAATGCTTTTGAAGTATGATTTTGGAATGAGGATTAGTTGCCATGAATGTAGAAATAAGAAGAAGCAGACAATAATTTAATTTAACCGGACCGAAAAATGTTGAAGCATTTTTGGATGCGTTCAATTATTTTTTTTTGTCTTGAAAAATATTTTTTCAATTTTTAGTGAATATGAAAAAATTTAAAATCAGCCAGATTGAAAATGAATTTGATGGCAATGATTTTATAAAGGGGGTGAGTAAGTTTGAGCGCATAAATAAGACCTTAAACCCTAATCAACTTATTGTGTCATGGATCAGGCATGAGACCAACCTATCAGCTGTCAACTCATTGGGTTAAATTGCTGGCTCAGTTTTCTCGACTCGCTCTATCAAAATATTTTGAAAATTCAACTAATCTTTTATAAGTTTAGTTCAAGATTTTATTATTAGAAAGAATTGCCATTATTTCTTTGAGAATTCATTTATTCCTTGAAGTTAAAAGTATCTATATAGAAGCCAGCTGTGTAGCCATTTTATCGTTTGCACGTCTAATTATAAATAACATCAATGTCCATTTATATATTGATAAATAATGGAGCTACCTATGACTCCTATGTATATACACTTTAAATGAATGAATCACCATACAACATTGGTTTGCTTTAAAAGTATTTTTATATTAGAAAGAAGTTATAAAACCTTTGGGTCTAGTAAAAAATTTTAGTTTTATTTTACTTTAGAAAGAAAATAACAAATATGAAAAGATATAACTCGTCTTAGATTGAAATCAGAGTTGTACAAAAGATCTTCTTTGAAGATTTTTGAGCGAGATCTAGCTCAAAAATTTGAGCAAGATCTTTGAAGATCGTAAAATTTGAAGATCTTTTATTTTTTAAAAATTTTGTGTAACGATCTTCAAAGATCTTCATGATATTTATTTTTTTACCCCTTTATTAAAAGCCCAGATGTTTTTCAATTTTCATCAAGGCAGGAGGAGAGGTATAAAACATAAAAGAAATATTATAATTATAAAATTAAAAAACATCTGGGTTTTTAATAAAGGGGTAAAAAAATAAATATCATGAAGATCTTTGAAGATCGTTACACAAAATTTTTAAAAAATAAAAGATCTTCAAATTTGATTGAAATTCTAAAATCTTTGGGTCTAGCAAGAAATTGAAACTGATATTTGATTTTAATATATTTTTAGCTTACTTTAAACAGAATAAAAATAAAGAGACGATTTAAATTTTTATCACACTTATAGCAAAAAAATAGGATGACCACAATAGACTCGTCTAAACAGAATTTAGTTTACAAAATAAGACGAACGAACCAGGACACGGCCTTCATCTTTAAGTATGTATGCCCAATATCTTTCTTTTCATCTTTTATCGGGATATTATTATCCATGACATTTAGGTTCGGGCTTCGAAAAATCACCTTAAGTAGACTCAAAACCACATTTTATTCTAACTAAATATTTCCTTTGGAAGAAACCCTTAGGCCACTTCCAGACACGACGTTTTTTCAAAACGTTTTCCGAGGCACGTTTTTCGCAATATTTTTTACTTCCAAACAGCAACGATTTATATTTTACAGCTGAGTTTTTTAAAATGAATCTTATAACTAGATATTTTATTATGAGACATTATAAAAAAAAACGAAAAGTAAGTATAATTTATAAAGAAAGAGATCTGTATATGATCTATATCAATTTAAATGAGAATTTAAATGATTCGCAATTCTTTCACTATCTTGGATTATCTAGGAATGTTTTCTATTATATAATTAACAAAATTGAAATAAAATTATACATAAGCAAACAAATGCAAAAACAACTATATCTCCTGAAAAGAGATTATTTGTTACTTTAAGGTAATATATTTAGTTATTAATATATATAAACCATTTAAGATAATTAAGAACGGGCCTTAATTATTCACAACTATTTTATAGTAGCAGAATAAGCAAAAGTTGCATTGCTACTATCATTCCAGAGGTATGTGATGCTATATGGAAAACTTTAAAAGATATTCATATGCCAATTCCAACTAGAGAACATTGGGAGAAGGTATTATAAATTTAGATATAAATATATTTTTAGATTGCCCAATAATATTTTGAAAAACATGGATTTCCAAACTGCCTTGGCTCATTGGATGGTAAGCACATAAGAATAAAAAGTCCTGCAAAATCTGGAACCCTTTTTTATAATTATAAAGCTTTCAAATCTATAGTGTTACTTGGTTTAGCAGATAGTAATTGCAAATTTATATATATAGATGTAGGATCTTATGGAAAACAAAGTGATGGTGGCACTTTCAGAAATAGTAGTTTATATCAAAGTAAATTTTTAATGTAATAAATAATTTTTAATTATTTTAGAATTAGAAAGTCAAACACTTTATATTCCTCCTCCTAAACCTATGCCAAATAATAACATTGCTCCACGTGTAATTATTGCTGATCTAGCCTTCCCACTAAAAAATTATCTAATGAAACCTTATCCTACGAAGAATACCAGCCCAGAAGAAAAATATTATAATTATAAATTAAGTAGTGCTAGAATGTGCATTGAATGCAAATTTGGCATAGCTACTGCTAAATTTGCCCTACTTTCTAAAGCTATAGAGTGTTCAGTTGAAAATGCTGATAAAATTATATCTACAATTACTCTTTTACATAATATTATTATTGATTATGATAAATAGAATATACACCTAATATTTTACCTATTACTGAAAATTTAGGGATCAGTAGATCTTTAAATGCTTCAAGTTCTAATTCAAGAGAAATTAAAGAATTATTTAAAGACTATTTTAATTCTTAAATATATGTTTAATTTCATTATATATTAAATAAATAAATTACTTTTGTATGTGTATATAAATTAATAAATTACTTTTGTATGTGTATATAAATTAATAAATTACTTTTGTATGTGTATATAAATCACTTATGTATGTGTATATAAATCACTTATGTATGTGTATATAAATCATTTATTTTAATTTAAACTTATAAAATAATACATAACTATTTAAACATCAACATTTTCTACTATAATATTATTTATATAATTATAAATAAGAGTTTGCACATTAATTTTCATGGCGTCCTTAACTTCATTTTGCACCTTCTTTACATTATCAACCAAAGACAGGCACCATAATCTATCTGGGTCATTATCAATTTCTAACATTTTGTCAAAATATCTTTCCATTGGGTCTTTTGTTACTCAAGCCCTTTTTACAGGTCTTACATTCTCTATATTATCTGTGATATTATTTAGTGTCTTTCTTGGTGTGGTGGAAGTAGTAAGAAATGATAGTGAATCATACCATTTCCATGGAGTGTTAGCTTTTGCAGCATCCCCTGAATGCACTTTGTAATATAAATGTAATTGTAAATTGAATTTAAATTGAATATAATATTAACTTTTCGTTTGTAAATTACATAACCTGAAGGATTGAATTCATTATATATATATACGTGATATTGTGTATTAAATATACTTTTACTTACTTTACCTATTTTACTTATTTAAAAAAACACTTCATTGGCGACGATTTTTAGAGAAGATTTATTTGATTTATTAAATTTAAAGTAAAAGACTCAATGGAAGTAGCTCCTATTAAAGTTGAAGATTCAATGGAAGTAGTCCCTATTAAAGTTAAAGACTCAATGGAAGTAGTTCCTATTAAATTCCATATTCCAGAATTCGTCAAAGAAAAAGTAAATATTCAGGACTACTTATTTAACTTGGAGTTAATTTATAAAGTAATAAATATTATAGATTTAAATACAAAAAAAGACCTGCTTTTAGCCTATATCGGAACAGACAATCTTATCAAAATTAAGAACTTTCACTTTCCAATAAATTTAGAGATGATAAATTATGATACTTTAATAAAAAGCTTAAATTTGGTGTTCAAGGATAGTTCGAGCATTTTCGTAAATAGGAAAAATTTTTTTACGCTAAAAAGATGTAATGAGACGATTATTGACTTTTCAATTAGGGTTAAAACTGTTTGTTCTCTTTGTAATTTTAAACCGCCTTTTGATGAACTTTTAAGAGATATATTTATCCTAGGAGTAGGCTTACCTGAGTTGGACAAAGAACTTCGGTCAAAGTATATCGAAGGCAATATTACTTTTGAAGAGACCGTGCGTTTAGCGATCGCGCTGTCTTCGTTGGAAAATGAAACCCAGACTGAAGTTAATAAAATAATTAAAATAAGCCAACACAGGGTTCGAAAAATAATTATTTTAGAAATAATAATTATACTAACGTCAATAGATTCAATAATAATAAACACTTTAGTAACAATTATATTCCTAATAATAATTATAGACCTAGTATCAAACCTAACTCTATTCAAAAGAAAGTGATATTCTTTCGTTGCGGTAAGGCAAACCACATAGCGAAAGATTGTAGAACCCATGCCATACAAATGATTCTGCCACGGACACCTCGCCTGTCATTTTCAAATAAAGCTACCATCGATGCGAAGATAAATGGGTTGCAGCTAGCTATGGAGTTTGATACCGGCGCCGCGTGTAGTGTGATTGATGAGGTCACCTGGAATCGTATTGGCAGACCACAACTATCTCCGGCTTATAAATTAGTGGGATATAATCATATCCAAATCGAAGTACTAGGTAAATGTACCGTAGAAGTCAAAGTAAAAAATATTTCGAAATTTTTACTTATTTGGGTAGTTAAAGGGGAGAATTCCCTTATTTTTGGGATGCCTTTCATTAGAGAATTTGATATAAAACTACCGGAAGAAGTTCGTATTAATAAAATAAATATGAATATGAATATTCCCTCTTTATATACGATTGTTTCAAAATTCCCTCAAGTTTTTAAAAAAAATTAGGTGAAATCAAACTGCAAAAGGCAGTCATCCGAATAGAACCGAACACGTTACCGATTGCATTACCAGCAAGAAGAGTTCCTTTTCCGTTGCGTCGAACCATTGAAGCTGAGTTGGACAAACTTTTAGACGAAGGCGTTATCGAGAAGGTGGATCCAACAATAACTCCAATCACTTGGGCTACGCCAACGGTTAATATCTTAAAGAAATCCGGTGCCGTACGGATATGCGGAGATT